AAATATAATATAAAAAATAAAATCGAGAATTTTCACACGAAAATAGCATTTGGTAGCCATTTTCGCCGTGACGATAAGTCTAGAGGTCAAATTTTTTTTTTTAATTAAAGTATATTACATTAGCATTAATTTAAGATATTTATAAAAGTGTCAGACCTTTTCAAAAGTTAAGTTGAAAAAATTAATTTTTTGTAAAAAAGTTGTCATTTTAAATCCCCCCCTGTGGGCAGGTAAAAAGTCAGATTTATAAAAAAAATATACCAAATGATAGGTAATGACATCATGCATCTATAAAAAAAAGAATTATATTGATATGTTTATTTTTGAAAAAGCTACGGCACATTTTAGTAAAAAAAATTGAAAAAATTTCGAAAATTAGCGATTTTTAAATTTGTAATTTTTTTGGAGATTTCCCCCATTTACGGGAACGGGGGAATTTTTTTCAATTTTTAAGGGTAATGTCTTCGACTAGTTACAATTTGTGATCTTTTGACGTATCGTTGAAAGAAATTCGTTCGGTGAGAGCTGAGGAAAAGTGGTAATAGACACAAAAAACAAAAAAAAAAAACGAAAAAACACATCATAGTAAAACCAATACCTTCTCAGCTTCGCATCGAAGCTAAAAAAAATGAATTCAATTAAAAATATATAATATTAGCAAACTGAAAATATAACATTTAATTTTATTTTGAGAATTTTTCAATTAATAAATTTAAAGAATTTTATTCAATCAAAATGTTTTCTACATTTTATCTTGTGGGTTGTGTTAAAGTAAGATCATTTTTTACCAGATATCAAACGAAATATTTTTTATTAATATCGTATAATTGTCTTGCAATTGTTAGTCATAAGAAAAACAATCTTCTATGTCTCCATGAAAAATACTTTTTGTGTTTGCAGTTCTTCTTTCTTTTTGTAGCTACTCGGTTAATATTTACATATATGTAAAATATGATATTAAATATTCTCGGACCAAAAACATTAATAAAAATTTTTAATTAAGTCGCATTAATATGACATTATTTATAAATTGTATCTTTTGTTATTTCGTTAATTAAAGCGCATTTGGTATTCGAGCGTCCATTACAGCAGTTGGTGACTGATAATAAGAAACTACAAGACTTCTGGTTTTCTATCATTTAAATTAAAACCTTTTGGCGCCACCTGCAGATTATNATTTATAAATTGTATCTTTTGTTATTTCGTTAATTAAAGCGCATTTGGTATTCGAGCGTCCATTACAGCAGTTGGTGACTGATAATAAGAAACTACAAGACTTCTGGTTTTCTATCATTTAAATTAAAACCTTTTGGCGCCACCTGCAGATTATTGAAGCTTCTCCAGCTGCTTGTGTATTTTTCGAGAGTTAGCTAGTTGTATGTTTTTTTATTTCATTTGCATAGAACATTCAGTTATTTCTGTACTTATATTTCACAGTATCTGATAAGCCATATTTTTGTATTAGATATTATTTTAATAACAGATGTAGTTGTATCCGGAACCCTCCGGGTCTTAGATGTTAATTTGTATAAAGGTATGACAATTACTTTTTGTATTATTAAGACCAACACCCGTGTTAAACCATCAATTTTATACTCGAGGGAATTAAATGAATAAGAACATAATCAATGGTGAATATCATCATTGTTATATTACAATGTTCATAATAATTCTAACATAAAATAATCAATTTGCTGCAGCCTTCTCAATATTTTTTTCATTAGAGACTAAAAAAGTATTTTATATTCTAAGAAATTTCGTGTCGACTCTATAATAATAATTTATCAAAAGATTATTCCAAGAATTAAGAACATTAATTTTTAAAAAGGTAAATTTTTTTTCAATAAATTTAATTATTTATTAATTTTTTTTCCATACAGATAATTTTATTTTGGGACAAAATAAATGAAGTAATGCATACTTTTAATAAAATATCTAATAACAAAATCACGATAATTGAAATGGATAATTTTGTTAAATAAAATGTATAAATTTGAAAAAACAATAATTTTTAATCCATAGATTATTTAAAATAAATCAATTGACTAAACAATAATTGAGTTTCGATCATGCAAGTTTAAATTTTACAAGGTCGTATGAGATCTTTGTCTTTCGATGGCGTTAGAAAGGAAAGTGATACGTCCTTTCCAATATACAAAGTGATTGATTATTATTGACCATTACAGTTCTTCTAAAATAATTATAATGTTTAAAAAAAATGTCGGTTTTGTTGAATAGTATTTATTTTTTAATCTACAAGTGGTTAAATATTTTTCAAGTTTTACTTTTTCCCTTATAAGAGTACCTACTTTGTTTTTGTTAATAACAACATATATATTTAACAAACTAAAAAATAAAAAAAGTATTTAATNTTTTTGTTAATAACAACATATATATTTAACAAACTAAAAAATAAAAAAAGTATTTAATTTTGTAATTGAAAACTATTATCATATCAAACCTAATTTGACAATAAATACTTTAAAAACATTAAATATGAATAATTTTAATTGTCTATATGGAGAATGTAGGCTAAGTAACTCTTTAAATGATTAAGTGGAAAATTTTTAAATTTTTGAGGGTAATATCTTTAACTAGATAATAGTTGTGATCATTTAATGTATCGTTAAAAAAAGTTGGTTAAGTGAGAGCTAAAAAAATAAATGAGCCACAAAAAAAAATTTTTTCGTATTAAAGTATATTTTTATCATTTTTATCAACTGTCCTCATATCGCATTCAATACTTTCGATGCGTTACAATAAAAGAAAATAATCATACCATTTCCCATTATTGTATTATTAATAAGAAACTGTAAAAATCTTTGAGCGTATGAATAAAATTAATTAATTTAACAATAATATTTCCGCTTATCCCTTAAGACCATTGTGTTATAATGCATACAACACTTATTATTCAGTAGTCTATAAATCATTGTTTATTAGTCATCAAATTAAATATATATTATTCATATTAATCCTTTAAACTATTTCGAAAAATATGTCTAAAAATACATTGATACAAATCTAATGTAATAACTATAAGAAATTCTTTAGTTGTGACAAATCATCTATTTTAAGTAAAATAATATATAATAACTAACAGAATCGAGTAATAAACAGATAATAGTAAAAAGTCGTGACCTCTTTGCACATTTAGATGAATTGAATTTAATATTAAAGGACATAAAAACTGTCAATTCGACCCACTGCTCCTTGAATTTATGAACTTTCAATAAGTGTAAGAGTGTCTCGGCAATATTTATAATTTTACAAAAAACGAAGCATATTTATTTTTAACCTTGCTTCCAACATTACTAAGGTAAATTCACATTTTACAGAAGGTTTAAAGTTATAATAAGTAGTAATAATTTAAGTATAACTAGTACATAAATTAAGTAGGGAATCAAAAAATTAAGTGATTTCTAGAACAAAATATTGCTTAAATAAATAAAAAAAATCAATAACGTTTGAACGAAGTTAACCAGCCTAATCCAAACTTTGAATGGGTTACCTGTGTAGTCAATACAAAGAGACTCTCTTGCGAAGATAGAGAACTCACTTATATTTCCTTACTATTCAAGGTATTTATTGACACGACTCACAGTCAGCACAAGCTTAGATAACTATTGGTATGAGTGGAGTTAATGATAATTTCTGTGTGATAATTAATCACAATAATTTCTATTTCAAATTATTATTATATTAATACATTTTCAAATATTACTTTGTTTTTCTATATTTTACATCTTCTCATAAGACCCTCGTACTCATATCCCGAGAGAAAATTTTATTATATCACTTTAATCATAGAAAACTACTATTTTACATTTACATTTATTATTTGAGTTACTATAGTTGACACATTTTAATACAACTTAATAACTTTATCCTTTAATTTCATCATTCAGGCGAAGATGTTGTAAAGCTTTTTGAAACTTTCCCCACTGTGATTTATCTAGCCTTGATCCGATTCCAAGCATTTACATTTGTATTTTGTTGATCAACAATAAATATAGTCATTTTTTTCAAGGAAAAATATGTTTAGAGTTAAAAAACTGGACAAAAAATAAAATAATATTTAAAATTTATTTAATAGTAAATTAAGAAAAACCAAAGTATTGGAATTATTGGAAAACGATCATTAATTGGAAAGGCTGTTTTTGAAAAAGTAGACCATTTTAAATACCTTGAAGCACCCATCAAGAGTAATAATGACTGGATAGTAAACCTTATACACAAAGCGAAAAATGGCTATTATATATTGTTAAAGTTTTTCAAAATCAAATTATATACAAGGACAATATTAAGAATGATTTGGCTGTAGTTAGACCGGCGTTGACGTATGATTGCGAGGCGTGGACGATAACAGTACACATGGAGAGAAGTTTACTCTATTTTGAGAAAAAGATATTGAAAAAGATCTGCAGTGTAATTACAGTGAGTTTGGGCGCTGGCTGATATGAAGCTATACAAATATTATAGGTACAATAATTAAATTTTTAATAATTTTTCAAAAAGACTCTTTATAAAAGATTGAGAAATATCTCCATTAATTGTGAAAAAAATATTTTCTAAAGATGATGATAATAAAATAAATACTTTTGTACATAGATTCAGTACAAAATTATTACTCACAATCATAAAACCGAAAATATTGTGCGAAATTTAAGAATTAAAAACATTGAAAAATAAATAATAACAATGATTTTGTATTATGTAATATAGAATCATTGCTTACATTATTATTAATATATAATGATTAAAAGTTCAATGAACAATTAGTTATCTGTTTTTAAATGAACTGTCTTGCAATTTAATTTTTCAAAAAATCTAAAAAAAATTCTAGTAAAGGAGGATTTAGTTGATTAATTAATAAACTGAAAAAATTGTATAATTTACTGGTAAAAGTTTTATTTATATCATTAATTTATTAAAATTTTATATTTGATCAAATTGAACTCTCATTTACTGAGTTAGATAAAAACTTATAATAATTGCACTTATCAAAGTTATACAAATTAAGAATTATGAACAAATTGACCATAACCATCAATAAAGTATAATAAATCATAACTAAGATAAAACAAAACAAAATAGAAAAACTATATATTAAAAAGAATGTCAAAAGGATTAAATTGTTGTACTTTCTGTTGATCCTTGATAATTGAATTCTTCATTTAATAAATTTAAGTTTCTATAAAAAAATAACAGAGTTAACACTTTTAAATCATAACACTATAGTATTTTATCTATGATATAAAAATAAATAAAAATTATTGATCACTTATAACTAATATTATTTAAAAACTAGTTAAGTAGTTAAGTATTTCTAACATTTTTAGTTTTAATTAATTAATTAATTTTTTTTGAAAGTGGTTCTATTAATTCTTTATTAAAATTTAAAAAAAAAAATAAAATCATTAACTTATATACCTGTCATTCACAGCTTTAAGAAGTTCAGATCGTTCAGACATAGATATAGCTAAACGTAATGTACTCCAAATTGTTTCGGATAGAGCTGGACTTTGCGAATTAGTACTTATAGCTGATGCTTGTTGGTTTAGAGCTTCTAGTAAGTGTTCAATTGCTTCTCTAGTTATGAATTACAAAATAATTAGTTATTATAATTTTTATAATATAAATTTTTAATTAAGATAAAACAAATGAGATGCATCAGATCTTATTATTATAAACTTAGATCTATCATACATTGTAACATTACTTTGTGTATATTTGTAATACCTTAATATGTATTAAGCTAATGGTATAGTAGTTAAAGCTTTAGATCAAATAAAAAAAAAAAAATGAAATACTTAAGAATTTACTTATATGTATCAAGATGAATACAAGTAATTCCTAAATTGTAACGAGCTCTAACAAATCCAGGACATAATTCCAATGCATTTCGATATGCTTCAATAGCCTCTTCACATCGACCCCCATTAGCTAATGTTGCTCCGAGTCGATTCCATAAACGAGCATCCTTAAGAAAATTTAAATTATAGAAAATATTTAGACATTACATTGTAAACTGTATTTGAAATACTTCAGGTTTTATTTGAAGAGCAGCTTTGAAACAATCAACTGCTTTATCATTTTCGTTGTTAAGATTAAGCAATACTCCTAATCCATTTTGAACATCTGCATCAATGTACCCTGTTTCTACACTTCTCTGAGCTGCTTCAATGTACATATCTTTAATTGACTCATACAATTGTCTAAACAAAATAAACCTTAATATTATTATTATGATCAACAGAAATAAAATTAAAATATAGTAGCATAAAGTAACACAATTTAAGAAAGATATATATAAAGAATAATATATTTTTTTTTAACTTACCTAAGTAGTCTATATTTCTCGATTTATAAGTGGTTAAGTACTTTAAGGTCTATTTTTAATTTTTTATAAGTGTATTAACTTTAATTTTTTTTATCAAAACTTACATAGTTAACAAGCTCAATGTTAAAATATTACTAAGAATATTACTGATTGTTAACAATTTTTGAACCATTATTTGAGAAGCTATAAACATTTTTATACTTATGAAAGAGTAAAAATTCGGAAAAGTACTTCCGAAAAAAAAAATAATTTAAAAAAAAAGAACAGAACCCACACCTAAACACCAGTCTACATTTAGAAATGTTATTAACTTGCAAAATAATGGTCCAAAATCTTATATTGCCCAGCTAATTTCTCAGACTATTTCTTATTCTATAAGCTAGTTAAATATACATATGTATGTTACCTTTAAAAAAAAATTTAACACTTATAAGTATTATGAGATAGTACTATAAATTTGACAAATATTTTCAAATATAAAAATTGTTGGTTTTGTTAGTTATATTGTAACAATTTATATTATTGTTACATTGATATTTATTATATTGCAAAAAAAATTAAAATAATTTGTATTTTACTTAGATTTATAGAACAGAAAACATACGTAGTAAATAAATATTTCATCACATTGGATTCATCTAGTATTGGTTTAGATTTGACAATATCCGTATATTTTGGGTTTTGATTTAACCATTCCTAAACATAATATTATTAATTTTTTGTCTTTGTAAAATTAATAATAAATTTTTGTTTTTGGTTGCATACCTTGAGGGTTCTACATGCTTGTAAATTACAGCTCTCATTTGTGTAACAAGCAGCCAAACAAAGTATAGCTGTTAAGTTGTTTGGTTCCAGTTCTAAACATTTATTAAGTGCACTTATTGCCAAATTATCCTTATAATAAAAAATAAAGCATAAATATTATATATCTATAATAAAACTATAGTATTTATAATTATAATTATTTTAATTCTTAGATCTTTAAACTAATAAATAAACAAAATATTTGATTATACAAAATTATCTTCATACTTGTTCATTTTCAGCTTGAGTAGTACCTAAAAGTTGCCAAGCTTCTGCATTAGACATGTCATGTTTTACAGCTGCTTCAAAACACAAAACTGCAATAGGCAATTCACCTGCTTCTAAACGACGTTTGCCTTCAGCCAATGGATTTTCAATGGACTCCATTTCATTGTCAGAATTAAAGGCATATTCCTAATATTCAAAAAATATATTTATATGGCGAATTAACTTAATTTGACAACTGAAATCACTTATATTCTTTCAAATACATGATTCATTTTAAAGTATACTAGAAGTTAAAAAATATAGTTTACATGTTTTCAGTAAAAAGTAAAAAAAGTTATAACATAAGTTCATTATCTAATAAGTAGATCATAGATAATATTTACATATTAAGTAAAACCAAGATGCATTACTCACTATATAAAATAATATTATTAATAGGGCTGTGAATTTAATATATTAAACTCATTTAATAAGTATGTAAATATGCATTAAAAATTATTATGAATACATATATAAAATTAGATTAGATTGAGTTATCATAAAATTTGCATATAATAATTTTACATGTATCTTATTTGTAAAAAAAAATGCATAAATACATAAAAATTGTGAAAATATGCACTGATATGCAACCACGATATACACAAAATAAGATTTCACAATTAAATTATACACAATACAAAACAAATTTTAATAAAAACCATTTTTTGATACAACGTAGCAAAAACGACATACAAATGCATTTAATTCACAGTCCTAATCATTGCATAATTATGAATAAGTTTACTTGAGCTTTTTCAGCATTTTTCATTTCTTCATACTCAGAGTACCATGACTGAAAATTGTTTGTTTCATTTAAAAATCTATCAATGTCTTCATTATTAGTAGTCTCTGTTGTATTTTCTAATATTTCATTAGCTAATATTGGTTGTCCAATAGCAGATATAGAACTTTTCAAACTTGATGAACCAGTAACTAATTCATCAGATGGATTAAATTCCAAAACTTGATGATTTAAGTCATTAAATACATTTTGTTGAAAATTTCTATATGCAAATAATGAGTCTCTAAGTGGCTCATTGTATTGGCCAGCCATACAATTAATGCTGTTCATCATCATTTCACTGTATGAATCCTAAAATTAGGGATGATTTTAACTATTAAAAAAAAAATCATTGGTCAGAATATAAGTCAATTTAAAAGTTTCTGTAATTTTTGATTATGCCATTTTGAAGACACCTAATTTTGAAACAGTAATATTATAGTAATGAATAAATACAATTATGTAATTTATCTCCTTTTATTATATGAATATTCAAATACATTATTTAGTTATAAATTTTAATGGAATATATTGTCTTCAGTATGACTATAACAAAATTTAAAAAACCTAAAACTTAAGAATATGAAATTAAAAATTTAAATTACCAAATTTAAATCATCATGTAGTACAGAATCAGTAAAATTTGTATCATATTTACTTTCATTTTCACCATTTTTTTCAAAATCAGATTGTGATTTCAAAGCATTACTCCTAAAATGTTTTATTAAAAACAAAAAAATTTCAAAACCATACACTAAAATAAAAGTTATAGCTGTTATGTTTGAAGGGTGTAACCAAATCTTCCCTTTTTTAGAACCTAATTAAAGCAAAAAAAAATATTCAATTATCCAAAAAAAGTAGTGTTTTTACAACATTTTAAAATAAAAAGGTAAATCATACACTTTTCTTAAAAATAATTTTATCATATAACTTTCCGCTCTGAATTTTTACAGCTTTAGTTACTTTTATAATTAGTGGTATGTGTCTGTATAAAAATTAAACAGATTTTTTAATTTTTTTTAAATCTAAAAAATGTATAATCTAATATTGTTTATAAAAAATTCTAAGTGTCCTTTTACTAATTTATATATCTAATTTTTTCTAAAACACATTTTTCTATCTATAGTAGTAAGTATGTTTTTTATTAAAACAGCATCTAGTTTTCAATAATGAATACAGAAAGAGCACCAAAGTAAAAATTATCATAAAAAGCATCATTATTTTTCTAAGTAAATTGCCCCAGATATTAAAAAAGTAAAAAACTTATTACATACTCATTATGGGACGATTCTAATTCTTTTACCCATTCAGGAGCATAACCGTATTCATAAACATCATCTTTTACCAACATTTTGTTTTCTGTTGAACTCCAAATGTTTGGATCATACAAGTAGTCCTAAAGTAAAATATTTTGGATGAGTTAATAAAAATCTATGTTTAAATATAAAAGAGTATACAGTAGGGACTTCAATAACCTAAAATGTCAGGACTGTAACTATGTAGATTAATCAGATAGCTGATAAACAGAAATTTTATAATAAACAAACATTAATAGACTTGTAATTTCAAAATTAAATTTTTGGCATTAAAATAAAGATGAATAATTAGGTATAAAAATATATAATAAAAAATAATCAAAAGTTTTTTTTTGTTTTGGTTAAAATAGTAACAGTTAATTAAGTTTCTACTGTTTTTATAAATTTCAAAAAATACAAAAAAATTGTGTATTACACTTAATAATTATAAAAAAAGATTAAATCAACTTATAATACAGCTTATAAAATTAAGCTCAATTATACTACTTAATAAGGTCTTCCCTTAAAAAAATTCTAAAAAATATTTTCTAACATTATTTTTGATTTCTTTAGCTAGTTGTTCTGGCCAAGGGTCTTCTTGAATACAAAAATTCATTTCGGCATTTCTCATTTCTGCCAGTATATTATCCATTTTGAATGTGTCAGATTCTTCAGAGCTAAAGAATTGATCTGCAAGCTAAAATAACAAACATATTCAGGGTTATTATTAATAAGATATCCTATGTATGTTTAACAATTAAAATCTCATTTACTTCTCCTGTAGTGGCACTTAAAAAACTTTGAGTTACATTCTGATCAGACTGGCTTGCTTGTCTAAGATCTTGATCTTTCAATCCATGGTCTTGAACAAAATGAGATGACAATTGAACTAATGAGTTTGAACCACCGCAATCACCTTCAACTAAATCTTGCAAAGACATATTTAACTGAAACAATCTAATGGATAGAATCTTTTTTAAATTAATAGATGTATAAATCTTATTCTATAACTTAGAGGCTCGAACATAAGTAAATCTATTAGGAATGAGTTTTTATTTTATTAATAAGATAAAAAATTTAACAAAATACATAATCAAAATTTAAAAATGCCAATTGTTTTTAATTCAAATTGAAAAATATTAAATTTTACAAATTAGTTTAATTATTTTTAATAGTTAATATAATATCATCAAAAATTAGTTCTAATTTAAGTTATAATAATTTTGACAAGATTTACGCATGAAATAAAATTTTATTTTAATTAAGTAAATTAATTAATTAAAACTCTAGTATATATACTATCAACTAAGTTTAAAGAATGTTTTGAACTTCAACCTACTTTTTCGCATAATGTAGGTCACATTTTTTAAATAGACGATAATTTTTATTATGCTAAAACTGCAAAAGTATTCATCTTTTAATGAAAATTATTTTTTAACTATACACATAGTCTTTCAACAAGAATAGAGACACAAATCAAAATTTTTAATGTTTCTGAATTTTTACATTCATAATAAAATAATCAAATTTTAAGTCAGGGAAGTTTCATTACCCAATAAGTTATAATAGTTGTCGCAAGAATTAAATTAATAATTAAACAGCTTATATTTATCAAATTGTTTTTCTTCTTTTCTAAAATCAGTATTTTATGAGTTATAAATATATAAGTATTTTTTAAATAATAAGTTATTAATTTTACCAATAAACAATTTATATATATATATATGTGTGTGTGTGTGTATGCCGAATAAATAGGCATTACTCATAAGATAGAACTAAAGGGATAGGGTAGATTGTGAAATACTTCATTATGCTTATGATAATAAATTTAATTTCAACTTGTGTTTCAAATAGTGATGAGAAAAAAGAAATTAAAGATGCAACATTTAATTAATACATTACCAAAAATTCGTAAGATTGGGTAATGCACCTTTTTATTTTCATGACATACAAAGCAGTTAAACATAATTAAAAAATTATTAATGTAGGTACAGAATATTATGAGATCTAAGTTTATCAAATTAGGTAATTATGTATTAGACCTGGGTCAGCTTTTAATAGGTAATTTTTTACCTAAAATGTAGATTCAGCATGTCAAAGGGAGGCTTAACCTTTTAATAGCCCCTGGATATGGCATGGGCTGTACTAACAAATTAAATTATTATAACACTTAATTATTCCAAAACTTCATATAATGTAAAGAGTATTCAAAAAGTATTAAAAAATATTTGTATTGTTTTAATTATTGTAACATTTTAACTGTTCTTTAATTATTAAACATTTTATTGTGCAATATTTAGTTTTTAATACATAACATTTAATAATTGTAAAATTTAAATTACATTTTTGATCAGAATAATGTAAAAATGTTTCAAATTTTTTTTTATGTTATAACTATATTATTTTATGTTAAATTACTGTTTATATTAAATACATTTTTCTAATTGATTGCCTTATTGTGGTTTTGTTCAGGTTGCTAGTTTTAAGAGCCTGGGTTCTGCAGTTAATTATTTAAAGAAAATAACATTAAATAATAATGTTACATCAAATCAAAAATAGCCACTATTTTTATGATACTTAAAACATCGAAACATTAAAATTTTAAAGTCAACTAAACCATATACTTTATAACTCAAATATTAATTATTTTAAAAATAAAATTTCTATTATGTAGAATTAAAAATAAATATAAAAAAATTTCCATATGTTTTTACTGGTTCGTTATGATAATTTTAAAGTAATCACATATTATACTGAAATGCCGCAAGGACGATACTGAAAGGAAGAACTTCATACTACTCCTTATTCTACAAGAATCATTAGGAAATCAAGCTCATGATATAGTGAAAAATGTAAAATTTATTAAATCAATACAAATTAAAGAGAAAATTTAATATAACCATTATAAATGAAGGGTACAGAAGAAAAACAGTAGAAGTCAATTTTAATTTGATTTGCCACTTAGCAATAGTATTAAGTAATGAAGTTCATTCTATTTAAAATATTAAAATTTTTCTAATATTTAAGTGTTAATTTTTATTTTATCACTATAAGGATAGGAGTTTATAATTTTTTTTTGTCCTTCTGAAAAATTTAAAGACATAGAAAATTACTTGTATTCTCCTATACTCTTCAATAATTTATTAATTTGATATTTTAGACTAATGCCTCAGCAGTTGGACTTTTTGTTATAAAAAAGAAGAAAAATTTGGTTTTAGTAATTTATTTAATATTAATCATAAATAATCAATTCTTATTAAATTTTAATAACTTATTTATTAAAATAGTCCAAGTGTGTCTATATAAAAGGCTACCTTGGGCAACTACCCAAGAATGCAATGAAAAGGGCACTTATTAGAATTTTGGGCCGTATGAGCTGATGATCTCGATAAAGCTCTGGTAAAAATGTATGCAATGTTATTTATAATTAACTTTTATTATAATTATACCCACAGTTTAATCAGGATTTAATGTTTTATTTAAATAAAAATAATAAAATGTAAAAAATAATTATTATATAAACAAAATTTTATGAAAACATGTAATATTATTTTGACCTTTAAACAATTATTTTCATTTTTGTCAAATAAACAACCATTTAAAAAGAATTTTAAATTACTAACATTAAAAATATCCTTTTATTAAACTAGTTTCATAAATATTATTTTACTTAAATTTTCTTTTACAAATAAATTTTTGGCAACTTTGTTTGAATTATAAGTTAAAAAACTAGTTTAACTAAGTTAATACTGTACATAACAGTTATAATGAAATTTGATAGGCGTTGATTTCTATGTTGCAATAAAATTAACAATTGGTAAAATATGTTTATAAATATATTAATATTATCTAATTTTAATTACAAAAATCTACAATGATTGTAATATTTTTCAAATATTTTATTAAAAAAAAGAAGTGGGAGTATAATAAACTATTGAAAGCACTTTGAAAAATTTTATCATTAATATATTATTGATTACACTAACTCGTTTAGATTAAAAATATTTTTTGTTCTACTTGTTAATTATTGTACAAATAAAACAATGAATTATTTTTTAATGTATTTTGTTAGTCACAAATTGGGGGAACTTAGCCTCTTCATAAATTTTGTTGAAATCAAGCCTGTATATTTATTTTTAATGTTTATTAATTTCCAGCTCTTAAAATTTTGTCATCTTTTAGAGTTATTGTAGATATTTTTTAAACTATCAACATTCAGGATATAATATTTATAAATAATTACAATCATATTTTTTATAAATAAAAATTTACTTTATTTTATCATTATAAACTATAAAAAATATAATAACATTTTTTGGCATCCTTAATAGCATGTTATATCAAACAAATATAAAAAAAAAACCACAGATTAATATATTTTTTGTCATCAATAAAATTAATGATCAAGTACTTTTAATAGGTACTTGATCTACTTAATTTTAAAAGAATAACTCACCAATTAATTGCTATGTATTAAAAATGTACATAATACTTTCGAAAAAATAAAAAAAAGAAATACAATACAATACTATAATACCAAAATTAAGTTCTCCTAATTGTTTATTTACTAATTATAAAATGTCGCTAATGGTTCACAAAAAATAAAGTTAGGTTTGTTCAATAGACAACAAAATGTAAAATGGTTCAAAGGCAAACAAAATATAAAACTCATAAGAAAGAGAGATCAAGAGATATTAAAAATTTTAAGCCCACTTTTAATAACCAACTTTTATCTAATGTTTGTAAAAAGATTAAGTTTACTCTTAGGTTCCTTCTGTGATCGTGCTTTAGAAAATATATTCCAAAATCTTAATGTTTCATCTCCAGCTCCTGTTACAATAGACTCTCCATCTGGTGACATTGATAAATATAAAACCCTAAATGTATGACCTGTAAGTTTAGCAATTTGACTCATTGATGGATATTTCCATACAACAATTTGATTTTGTGAATATCCATGAGTGCTGACAAGTTCTTGAGTATTTCTAGACCAAGCAAGATTACACACTTGAGACCCAGTATCAATACACTGCATTGGTTGACCTGTTAAAGTATTCCAGAATCGAATACATTTATCTGCTGTACCTCCACCACTAGTCAAAAGACCTCTTTGATGTGGAGACCATGCTATTGCTTTAACTGCTGCTGTATGTTGATTATAGGTTAATTGTGGAGTATAAGCATGAGTATTCCACACATATAATCTGTTGTCATTACCTCCGGAAGCTAGGTAACGGTTATCTGGAGACCATTTTAAACCACATACTTCTTGTCTATGTCCAGCATATCTTCTACAAGTAGATAAACTTGGACCTCTCATATCTCTTAAAAATATATTACGATCACGACTTCCAGAAGATACAACATCACCATTCCAAGCAATAGCTCCAACTCTTCCAGCATGACCAGTTAAACTATTAACTTGTTTTTCTGCTGCAATATCCCAAACTTCTACAGATCCTTCTTGAGTACCAAATGCTAAATAATTACCTTTGTCATTCCAGGCAACTGAAGTTACTACATTTCCATCAGAAGATAAATCACTAATTCTTGTTACTTTACTAGTTGTAGCTGACCAAAGATACACACAACTTCCAAGCCCTACAGCTAATAAATTTGATGATGACCAATCAACTAAATTCAAATAAAAATCATCTTGTAACTCTGGAGCATCTAGAACTTTATAAGGAACTCTTGATATTTTGCGAGGAATTTTTCTAGGTGATCGTAAAATTTCTTGGCTTTTAGCACCTAAGGGTGATAATGAATAAGGAGCACATGATTGTATATTATCAACTTGTTCTGGGCTTGATGAATAAAATTGGAATAAATTTCTTTTTATGGCTAATCGATCTCGATTTTTATCTAATAATCCTATTTCTCCTACACTGGACCCCAAAAGTTCATTATGAAGAATAGCTTTGTAAGCTCCATCTTTATTGGCAGACTCACTTTGGAAATCTTTTTTTCCATATTCTAAACCATTTCTAAAGTCAGATATGATATTAAATCTTGCAGTGAGATTGTTTGCTTCTCGATATGGTATAAATCGATCAGCTCTAAAATTGTTAAAAGCCATTTGCTCATGTCGCATTGAAATATTAGCTTGTCCAGTTTTAAACTTTTTATAAGATTTTGACTCGCCAGGGTCATTATCTACTTCCATTTCTTCAAGTCTTTTAAAACCCATTAAAGTATTTTCTTTTTCTACAGTTTGAGGCTTAACGTCAACTGCAGCTTGCTGCATTTGACGATTTTTTAAAACAACATAATCAGGACTTCTAGATAGCTGCACTCTCAGTCTCATTGCAAATGTTGGATCCATTCCTTCATCCATGTTTGTAACTTTGTTTAAGCCTAATAAATAAATTCCAATGCCATTTTAATTCCCAATTAATTACAATAAAAAAATTAGTCATATTTTTCGTTTATTATCTATTTTCCTAATTGGTATTTATCTCAAAGACAATCCTTCAAAGAATTATTCATTTAATTTTAAAAATTTCATTTTGAGAGAAATTAGCAAATTTAAATTCATATTTCATTAAAAAACAATCAACTCTTTTAAAAATTTTAGATTAATTAATATCATGATAATTTATTATTTACAAAATATATTTTTAGTTTGTTTTTATGTTCATTAACTAGTAATTGACATCTTACTTACAGATTACAAAAGTAAAACAAGGTTTAATTTTGTACCAGTAAAAGGTTAACATGTTGACCAGCAACAAATTTCCATGAACTTACATTTCTTTAAAGTACGTCAAACAGAAATGCATACATTCCTTGTTCCATGTTTGTTAGGTTAGTTATAAATTAGACTAATATCATAATTAATTACACTTTTCAAAAGTTTAAAATTTAAATAATAATATTGGGTCAATGCATCAATTAAAATTACATTAAAAAAACTAATCCAGTAAAAAAGCAAATATTTATTATCAAAATATGCTACCAGTAAAAAACAAGTGTTTAAAATGCATTTCTATCTAATAAATATATGAGGAAATCTTCATATATATTTTTTTTTTACAAAATATTAAAATCAAGATTAAAATGTAAAAATATCAATTATAGAATCTATTTTTATAGTATAATTGATAAATTCACATATCTTTATTGAATTTAAAAATATTTTCATTAATTTTAATTTTATATAAATTGTGAAATTAATTAAAGTTCTTGAAAATTTAATTAAATTAACTATTATTATTATATACTATAGTTATTACTTTAATACTCATAATAAATTTGGTAAATATTATATATATTATTTAGTTAGAACAAAAAAACTCTAGCCATCAAATTGAATGTATGAAATTAAAATAAAACAAACAAATAAATTGATCTTAAAAAAAACATATTAAAAATTATAAGATTGTGATTAAATGCCCCCACCTAATTAATAACATAATATTCAACTTTATGAATAAATATCAACTAAATTTGAAAATAATTATTATATACATATGCTTTAATATTTGTCAATAATAAAAATATTCTAATTTGACATTATTTTGAAACTTACTGTAGTTTTTGACGATACGAAAACAATTTTACTTCTTCGACGGTCGTTAAAATTTAATGTATGTTGATAATTATTCGAGTATCATCATTTAATATCTTTCTTTTTTATATTTTGAGTTAGAAAAGATAATTGATTTAATTATTAACATACAAACACTCAAAATGTTATAAAAAACTACAGTAATTTATTTAAAATTTTTAAATGTAAAATTGGTAAAACAATTATTGGAACAATAACAGTAAAAGGAAGAAATCATAAGCGATTATCGATTCCTTATACTGTTCACACGTTTCATTTTGACAAACAGACGTTTTTTACAGTGTGACCAATTGACGTTTACATTTGAACTCTGTCATGATCATTAGTTATGCTGTGATTTTTCAAGCAGCTGAAAAGGTCATTTTGATAAGAATTTATTAGGATAAGTGTGTAACTACAGTAATTTCATAAAAAATTTTATCCCATTATTTCTAATATGCGTGATGATATAAATCTTGTTAATTATTATTATTTCTAAATAATAACATCAATTTTAAATATTATTTTTTAAAATGACGATTTGGAGCTCATTAATGCTCATTTCACCTTACAAAAGATGTTTAAATTTAAAATATGGACGAGTATTAAAATCTTTGGGTAACTATTAAAAACATCTTGAATAATTTTTAATAATTAATATTTTAACGCTGTGCATTTTTAGTTTGTCATATGTATAATTATAAAAATATTAAGGATAGTTAGATTCATTTTAATGAATTCGACATATTGAAGTATACCTATTATTTAACATGTTAATAACTAGATAAATGAACCAATAACTTTTTTAGTTATTTCTTATTAACCCATGTTTTAATGTTCTAGATTTGGTACCTGTTCGTAATATGGGTGGACATCACATGATGATAATAAAAGAAACAAAATGGCAATGGACTAAATTTAAAGATTTGATACATTTTTATGTTCTTGTAGGTGTTATTCCTTTAACCATTGTCATAGCTTACACCAACATATTCATTGGACCAGCTCAACTCGCTCCAATTCCTGAAGGATATAGGCCAAAACATTGGGAATATCATAGAGTATAAAGTGATAATTTTTAAAAAAAGATTTTTTTTTGATTTTCAATTTTATTTTTAGCATCCTATTACTCGTTGGTTTGCTCGATATATATATCCAAGTCCACAACAACAGTATGAAAAATATTTACATACATTGTATGAAGAAGATGAAAAATTCAAAATCAGGTATAAAATACTTATGACATGAAGGGGGCTAAAAGTAATATCTTTAAAAAAAGCTTTCAAAGTTATGGTAATACTCAAAATACATTACTCTATGTCATAAAAATTTGTTTAATTCACTAGAAAATGTTTTAGTATTTTCAAGTCATTTCAATCCTATTTATGAATTTTGAATTGGAATTCATAATAATTGTTTACCAAAAAATTATTTGTACAATATATTTTAAATAGTTCAATAGACATTAATTAATAATTTATTTTATGTATTTTACAAAATATACTAAAAGGGAAAAATAAAGTTTTATTAATGTGTTATTTTTAAATGTGAGAAGATGTCACTGATTGAATAATATCTGTTAATTCTTTTTGAAACTGCTTCAATATATTAACTCTTACAAAACTGAAATCTATTAATATAATATAAAAATAATTTTAAGTACTTGAACCTAAAATTTTTGAAGTAAATTATTTCAACTGTTGGAGAAATGTTTTCCTTGTTATCACTTTATCATAATTTTTTTAATTTTAATATCTTTTAGATTACATTCACAAACAACATTTGATTAAATTGTATAGTAGGTTCTCTGTAAAAATATTAAAGATCTACTTTAGTGATTGATAGACAGTCTATCATTTATTATTGCAATTTTTGAAATCGGTATTAATCCATATTTTTAAATATATATCATTTTTTTGTAGTTCAATACTAATAAATTAATCTAAAAGTTGATCCTAGAATTAATTAAAATGATTAAACTTCAATAAATGCCAATATTTTTTAATTTTTGCAATGTTTACTTAACAGTTATTATGAAATAATTAATAAATGAACCATTTGCTAAAGAACATTAAAATAATTATAATATATTATAAAACATTGAAAATATTTTTAGTTATATACATGTGCTGAAGTTTTAAACTTATTTCATCAATTGTTAATATCAGACCATGTATGTTACATAGTACAATTATAAACTAAATACAATAAGTGTAGCTCTGAAGAGGAGCTATGAAATTTGTTTAAAATATCATTACAAGACGCTAAACATTGATATAACTTTATAAAATTTTAATTTAACACATTCAATACATAATGAATAGTGAAAATAATTTTTTTGGTTTATTTCAGGGGCATAATAAAAAAATATAAGGTTGTCTGCTCTAACTTATTAGTAGTCTGTAAAAATTGTGGGTCTTTTTGCAAAATAAAAAAATGTACAAATAAATATTTGCTTTCAAAACCAAAAAATTAGTTTTAAAAACTATACTGTAGTCTTATTTTTTAGAAGCCAAAAATTTTTTAGTTCAAATCTTAAATGCTTAAAGTTTTCTTAATATTAGTTTTAAGATGTTACATTGAGATAAATTCTATATTTTTTTCAGAATGTTAACTAAAGAAATAGAAAAAAAAATGAAAGAACGTTCAGACTACAAATCTTTTTACTATAGACCAATTTCTGCCAATTTACACAGAGTTAGTAAAGAAAGTATGGATCGTTCTGAAGAAGCTGCTGGTTATAATTAAAATTAATTTTTTTAACATAAATATGTTTTAAACAGTAGATTTTAGCTTAAATTAGTTGTTATAAACTTCTATAATACAATATTAACATTAAATAGATCATTAGTTAAACTTAGTTATGTATGAATTTTGTTTAATCTATAACGCAATATATCAACAACCTTGCAAGATTTGATCCAACCAATTTTATATATTCTTTTATATTATTTTCAATGTCAGTATCATATTTTCTCTTAAAAACAGAATATTTCATTAATTTTCCACAATATAGTATTAGAACCTGTAACATAAAATTATTAAAATGTTATGAATTGAATATTGTTATTTTGATATATAATTCAAGCTGTAAAAAATTTCTTACAACAACTAAAATTAGTGTAAAAGAATACTAATATCCTTTACTCATTAACATCAGAGCGGTTTTAAAGCTAAAATTATGAGAGAAAGAATAAATTACTTTTGCCAACTGAATAATTTTGACCATTTTTAAATTATTACTTTTTTTAATACCATCCTCTAATATTGAAAATTGCTGATTAAAACTATTAAATATAGTTGAATAGGATATGCTAACCAAACATCTGTCGAGATAGTTCTGATTATCATCTATCAACATTTGATACCATGTAATAAAAATACTCTAGAAATTCAATTACAATATGTAGTAAAGAGATTTTTCAACCAAAAATTCTTCTTAAACCTACTCAGAATACATCATTGATATGTTAAAAACTTGATATTAAAAACTTTTACCATCAAATTGTCCACTTTGTGAGAGATAAAAATATTTGAAAAATATATATAATTAGATTATGGTAGGGTTACCGTTTAGATTATAGTTTCTTTGAAAAACAAATTTTTTTTTATTTTTTTATAATCTAAAATAGTTATGATATTATTATAATCTTAATAAAATTAATAAAAAATATTTACTGAATCATAAGTTATGGTAAGTTACATACATGAAATATAACTAATCATGACTAAACTGCTGTACACACACACCATATTATGGTGTTATTTTCGTTTGTTCTCTAAATAATACTAATTGTCAGTACGTATTGATTGAAATATTCCTTCAGTTTCAATTTTTTATCCCAAGTCTAAGGATGTAATCATGCATCTCATTTAAATAACATTGAATAAATTGTCACATACGTTTTTATTAATAACTATATTTTATAATCAAGATATTTTAATATTGAATATAGTTTTTAAAGCTCTTGAATCAAATTAGCACCCTTTATATCAAACGAAGATTCATATCAGTTATTAAACTTGATAATAGATTTCAAAAAAATATTTTTACATTTTGATATTGTAAGATATTAAAAATAATAATCCATTTAAAAGTTAAGTCCAAAATCATATAAAATTTTTATACATTTCTAAATTACTTTGATTATTAAAAAAATAAATTGTTTTTTTTTTTTGCTATTTGATAAATTCAATAAATATGCATAAGCACATCCTTTAACCTGAGATAAAAAAACTGTATTTAAAGGGTGTTCAGTAACTAAAGAAAAGGGTTACTATAAATAGGACCGTTTTAACGATAAAGTCAATTTTAAGGTATTAAATTAGCCAATGGGAAGAAATGGACTCCTGCCTGATTATTTCTAGTTTTAAGTAAAAACAAATGAAACTAATTTTAATAAGATAAAAAGTTTCTTACATCCTCTGTATTGGTAGAGTTTTCATCTTTCGATTCATCAAATACAACATATTTTGCTTGATCAAGTTTAGGTAAACAAGAATCAATTTTATGCCAAGTATATCGAACTGGACACAATAAGTAAGATGGTCTTATTTTAGATTTATAACGCATTTTTGGGCATGAATGAATATAAAAGCCCATATAGTAATACTTTAATTCAGGTGATAAATGGTGTAATTGTCTTACTAAATTTATCTCCCTAAAAATAAAACTTATTATAAAAACAATGTGATATTATTTATTTATTATTATTGTTTAATAATTTATCTTTTAATTATTTACCTTAAGGAACTGTAGGTTCCTAAAACTAACTGTGAATAATCTGGATCGTAAAATAAATAAACAGAAGAAATGCATTTTGGTAAAATATCTAAAACACCAACAGCTATTAATTTATCATCAAGCCAATATTGCTGATGAAATGATCCATAACCAGGATGATTAGGGTTATCTGCTTTCTCAAACTGAAAAATTATTTTATTTAAAAATCAATAAATAAAGTAAGTTTTTAGTGAACTATTTTTAAAATGGTGATAAGATCAGAACCGACAAATTTTTTTGAAAATTAAGTATAATTAGTCTTAGAGTATTACGACCAATGATACCTGTAAAGGCGAATCAACAAGAAATTCTATATATTGTTCCGTATCACAATCATTTGGTTGGTCACTATGTACAGCCATTTGATATTTGGCAAAAAGGGAAGCCCCAGCTGAAAAAGTTTGCGCAAACTCCAATGTGCCGGTCTTAATCAAAGACACCTTACATAAAAAAAATATAAATTAAATTAGTTTTTAATACTTACACTAAGTGGGGTATCAACAAGAAAGCGAATAAATTGCTCTCTAGTACATCTATCTTCTGAATCACCATGAATACAAATCTGATAATGACTGTAAATAGCATACTCAGATTCAAATGATTTACTTGATGATGTTAATCTTAAAAGATTTACCTATAATTGATACTTAAGAAATTATTTTTTTCTTTCATTAAATTAGTAATTTTTACTCTAATATTTTTAACAGTTTGATAGGCTTGGTTTATATCTGTTTGGGACCTTAGAATTAGATTTTTTAATGGGCCCCAAGAATAGTTTTATTATAAAAAACTATTTACGATGTCTTTATTACATTACAAATAAAAGCTGTGGAGATAAAATCAACAATAATAATAACATAATTTTTAAGTTACTTTATCAATTAGGCAAAATACAAGACTAGGTTTTTTTTCATTACAAGTCCCTATTCCAGTGGGCCTAGGAATTTTTCTTTTTATAATGTGACATGGCACCATGTTTCCCTTAGCGGCACATCACGTTATCGACCTAAATGAAAGTGTATCGAAATTTGAATTATAAATGCACGGTGGCCTAGTGATAAGGTTCGTCTCCACAACGCCGTGGGTCGCAGGCTATAATCTCGTATCGTGACTAATATTCATACGACTTCTGGTACACTTTCTATAATCGGACATCAAATGATAAGCTATTTATTAATTATAAATAACCTCAAAATAAAAAAATAAAAATTGATGTCCCTGAAAAGACACTTAGCTTGTTCATGCTTTGAGCCAGTGCCTAGATTACATTGTAAAAAATATTTAACTATTAACATATCAATTCTAAACATAGTCAAAATACAAATTATATTATAAAAACTCACTTTCAATTTATGTACTCTATTATCAATTATAACATCATTTTCAGAAATTAAATCTTCAAGATTTTTCTCACGAGATAGTAATGTTTTTTTAATATCAGCATTAGGATTTTTAGCAAGTTTCTTCTCCATACGGATTAACTTTTTTTTTTTACATTTAGGCAATTTGGGATTAGCTCCTACACCTTAAATACATATTTGCTACTTCTTTAAGTTTTCTAATTATATTATTACATTTTTAATTTAAATATTCATACCTGGTTTAACAATTTTGTTTTCTGAAGATATTTTAAGATTTTTAGAGTTATTTAATTCATTTATTGAACTTAATTTGTTATTCTCTGTGATATAATAAATATTTATTTATTTAACATATTGATAGTTCCAATGATGGTTATCAATTAAAGAGTAGTAAATTTTTATTTCAATAATTTCAAAATTACCTGATTTTAACAAGGTGCGAGAAGTTGTAGCAGATTGATTATTTATTAAATCATTAGCTGATGTAATTGATTCAATATTATCTCTGTCAGTTTTTATAACTTCCATTTTCTCATCTAGTCTATGAATACCTAAAATTGAAGAAAATATGTTATAAAAAAAAAATGCATTTATTTCTATAAATTTTAAAATAAAATAGTATACAATAACTAAGTTCATTATATTTCAATATTGGTATAAATATTATTTAGTTAATTAAAAATTAACTAAGAATATTTCATAATTAACTAGTCAAATGAAAAAAGAAAAGCAAAAAATATTCATAAAATAATTTTTATTAAGAATATTTAATTTTTATAATAATTTTTACAAAAATTACCTAACATATCAAATTTTATTTGAGGTTCTCTTGTTTCATTTAAGTATTCACTATGTTTTCCTTGCTTCCCACTTTTTAGAAATTTAGTTACTCTCTTGATAATTTTTTTTTGTGATTTCGAAAGTTCAAATTTAAGCGCATTACAACTATTATAAAATATTTAATTAATTGATTAAAATATATAATTTGCAGTTAATTTAAATTAAATATTTAATTTATTAGTTTTATAATTTAAAAAACTTTTAGTTATATAATGAACAATAAATCAAATTGGTATTTTAAATGACTACCTTATAGTATACAATGGACAGCAAGTTTTTTCCATAGTAGGCTTATAACAATATTTTCCACTACGGCGCCACCCACGGTCTGCTAGTTCTTGATAGGCTTGAACTGTTAAACTAGAAGCCCACATTCCTATAAAACACAATACACAGAAATGTTATATTTTTTATAATTCAATATTATTTGATTCTAATTTTAGAGTATTACCATTACTATAGCTTGATTTATCCTTTTTGCAGTAACCACAATTTGACTTCTCGCGATTACCATTATAAAATATAACACTTCTATTATTATTAGACATAATAACTATTATTTATATGTTATAAAAATTCAAGTTATTTCCAATGAATGATTAAGCAGGTTTTAATTTGAAAAATTCTGAATAAGTATCAAAAATATTATTCTAAATCATGATGTATTGATCAAAACATATATTACAATATACTTTTCAATGGAATAGATTTTCATTGTAGTATTTTTTAATATTTTATCAGAACTATGCCTTACAAGATAAGGTCAGCGAATTCATTCTTATCAATGTTTTGCTTATTAAGTCGAAAACATTTCAGATGTCATTCACAAAATCGACGTTTTTAAGGAAATTGAAAGTTATAAAGGTATAATAGCATAAATATATGTATATATATAAACACATAATCTAGAGGATCGCCCTATTAGGTAGAATATTGATAAATTGTTATTGATATAATATTTGTGATCAGGCTATATTTCGCTATCTAGTGTTTAATATAATTATTTTTACTTTTAAAGAACTGTTCTATAACTGTTCTTACAGCTGTAATATTATATTATTACATATAATATTAACATATAATATGATGTTATCATTTGTACATGTATGTCACATATCATGATTATACAAGATCACCAAAACAGGGTTCTCTTATTTAAAATACAAAATAACCCTTTAATTATACGATAAAATCTCCCTCTTGTAGAAATTATTAAGTAACGCCTACACGCAGGGACCCCATTTTAATTAACCAATTAGAATACAAAGCCTCAGCTTCTAGGATCACGGTAGAGATCGCTGGGCTACCCCCTTCACACTATAAAAAGCCATTTTTCCCCATCTAAACCAGTTCTTTTGACGATTTTAAAATACACAAAATCTACGACACTCTACTCAAGATTTCACTCTCCGGGACTTAGTCGATTTTTTAATTAATTTGGACTTAGAATATTTTTCTTTAAAACTAAATGACACTTAGAAATTTTAAAGTGAATTTTGTTTTGGTGAATCTTTTAATTTAATTTAATTTGTTCAATCATTAATAATATTTTATTTTTCTTGTTGTGGAAATAAACACCAAATAATATTTTAAACATTACATCTTTTTAAAATTATTTTTATTTAATAATAAAAATTTATTGTGAGCTTTTCTTATTGGGTAGCTAGTCTCGTTACTAATGTCTTTGTTTTAACAAACATCGCGCCGGCAGACAGAGCTAAAGGTCACAATATTCTCAATTTAAATTGAGATTTAAATTTATTTGACTAAGTGTATTGCAACTCTATACTTACTGGGTAGCTAGTCTCGTTGCTAATGTCTTTGTTTTAACAAACATCGCGCCGGCAGACAACGCATAGAAACTTACGAATATATTTGTAGTGTTTAATTTTTGTCTTGGTGATTATTGTGCCGCATCCTTTCAAGGTGCTTTATTTTAGCACCGGGATACATTGGGCCACCACAATTCCGCCTTGATAAATTTTTTACATAGATATAGATATTTCTGAATCTTGTTTTGGCCAGGCCAGAGGAAAATTTAAGAAATATTGGTGTCGATCTCTCAATAAAATATACTCTCTAAAAAATACTTATTCAACAGACGTAAAAAAAATTAAAATTGTATTTATAATAAAATACAGAGTGTTTGGAATCATTCACAAGTAAGACCAGTTGTAGACTTTGTGTAATTAAATCATATTATTTAAAGTCTTGAATTGTTTTTTGTAAGTAATTATATAGACTATTTGACGTATAATTTAAATCGTATAGCGTAGTACGTTTAACGCGGAAATCAACACTGGATTACTTGAAATATTATTCTATTACATAGGACGTAAGGCAAGTACAATTTAACCTATGCTTTCGAACCTCCAACAATCTATTGCGTGATAAACCATTAATAATTAATAAAAAAATTAATTAAAATAAAATTGAAGACATTAAATCTACAAAAAAACTTATAAAAATAATAACTATAATAATAATCTACCAATTTCTAGCCATAATTAATTTCTTTTCTTTTCTTTTCTATTCTTTTTCTTTTTATTTTATTTTTGGTTTATTACACAGCTTCCGATTCCTCTCTCCTCATAACATGACCATACCATCTAAGTTTATTTTCTCTCATCTTATCTACGATTGACGCTACACCTATACTCCCTCTTATATGTTTGTTCCTTATCCTACTTCTCTAGTCACACCACTCATTCATCTAAGCACCCTCATTTTTGCCACACCCATTCTCTGCTCTACTTTCTTTTCAACCGACCAATACTCTAAACCATACATCATAGCTGGTCTCACTACAGTCTTGTAAAATTTAATTTTAATCATCATTGGAAATCTTTCATCGCATAAGAAACCAAACGCTTTTTTCCACTTCAACTACCCGCATTTTCATCCTCGTTTTACATCCTCGTCAATATCACCACTCTTTTGCACAACTTATCCTAAATACTTAAAACATTCCATCTCTCTTATCAAGTCCTTGCCTATTGTTACTGATCTCCTCATTTCACCTACCTCGTGTTCTCCTTTGTCAAACTCAAACTCTATATACTCTATTTTACTCCTATTTATTCTTAAACCCTTTTCTTCAAGAGCTGATTTCCACGCCTCTAGCCTTTGATTAATTTCCTCCCTATTTTCTCCTATTAATACTATATCGTCAGCAAACAACATGCACCACGACACCTCTGCTTGTATTTCTCTAGTAATTTCATCCATCACTATAGAAAATAAGTAATCTTGGTGCGCTTCTACTCTTACCCGAAAACCTTCTGATACTCCTCCCACACTTTTTACCCTGGCACAAGTGCCATCATACATATCCTTTATTATAATAATGTACCTTTTACGGGACTCCTTTTCTCATTAATGCCCACTTTAAAACTTCTCTCGGTACTCTATCATACGCTTTCTAAAAACTATAAAAGTTGTACAAAGCTCATCATCAATACCGCAAAAAAGTGCATCCCTCGCGACAGGGCCGTACCTAGAATTTTGTTTTTGGGGTGGTTTTAATTTTTTGATGTTAGTATTAAATTTACAATTATATCATTAAAATAAGTAGGTATAAAATAAACTATCCCAAGTGTATTCATAAAAACCCATAATATTTTAATACTACTGTCAAATATTAAAAACACATCTGAAGACTTAATCTTATAAAAAAAAAATTTTATTTTACCGTGACTGTAATGTACTATAATATATAATTTTTACTTCATAAAAAAAATAAGGCCACTCAAGACGAAAAGCTTGGTCACTCCTTCGAAGACTGCGATTTAACGATGAGAATTTTAAAGAGCCCAAACCAAGCCATCCACCAATCAACCCATAACATGTCCCCTTTACAAAGATGAAATAAATTCTGCGATAACAAAAATAAAAACTGGGAAATAAAGACGGGATATTCTCCGAATTCTTTAAACATTGCGGAGTGCGTACTAGATCATGGCTCGCAGCTTTCTTCAACAACATACTGGAGAATGGGAAGATTCCAGCGATATTCAAGGACACAAAAATAATAGCGGTATGCAAACCGGGGAAACCTAACGACCTCCCTTAGAACTACCGACCTATCGCATTACTAAGCGTAAGTTACAAACTTCTCGAAAGATTGATTTACAATCGCATTAGCCCAATTATCGATCAAATGGTCCCCAATGAACAAGCTGGATTTATACCGTATCGAAGTTGCACACACCAGGTAGCGGTTTTAACTACATTTATCGAAAATGGACTCCAAAAGATTCTGAAAACTACAGCTGACCTTACAGCCGAATACGACATATATAAAACTTTTGGAACTATTTCCTTTTCTCACACTATACACATTAATGAACGAAATGCTCAGTAATAGTACGTTTACAATTCATTTGGGGGAGACACATAGCAAATCAAGACGGCTAAACGATGGGTTACCCTAAGGGTCAGTTCTCGTACCTATCTTGTTTAATCTCTAATTAGGGTCAATACATGCCAAATCATCCAGAAGTAGTTGCACGACCACCTCATTTTTTTCTTAAATTTTCAGAGTTTATTCTTTATGCTATAATTAGATTAAAACAATTTTTTTTTATGACCCTCCCACTTTTATGGCTATTTCAATTTAAAAAATGTTAAAAATAGCCAGAACGTTAAAAAAACACATAGATTATTCAATATTGACATAATCGAATTAAAATTTTAGACTTAAAATTATTATAAATTGAAGTTTACTTAATAAAAAAAATAATAATGTGAAATTCTAAGTTTTAATGACTATTTAAAAATGGCGCTTTTTTTTATGAAAAGTGGCGTTTTTGAGCTCATTTAAAACCCAACAGAGGGGAAAACATTTTTTTTTATTTATATATCGGCTTAATACACCATAAAAATTTGAAGTTTGAGAAAAAAGTTTAACATGTAAAATTTAGCACTAGAAAATCAGTTTGCTCAAAATCAAATAATTTAATGATAGTTATTTATTATTTTCAAACCACATTTTTGTAATTGTTTTATATATTATCGTATATGTAATATATTACGATTCAATATAATTATTATATATGTTATAATTATTCAATTCATTATTTTAGTTTCAAAATAAAAAATTAATTAATTAAATTACTATGATTATATTGTAAAATATTTTAATAATCATTGTTTTATTCTAGTAGTCAGAATATTCTGTCTTCATAAATATCAGTTAATAATATCTTGAAGCTTCTATGGTAGTGTTATGAATTTGTAAAATTTTGTGTTTATCCCTATTCCCGAGAATAGTTTTACACAATTTAAATCTCATATTAGGTATTTTTCGTTTTGTTGTCCTTCTGAGGTGGGTATTATTTATGTATATTATCCCTTTAATTTTTTCATCGTAAAATTGAAATATATTTAGTCATCACATAGAACATAATAACGTTTTAGTTCTTATATTTTAAAATTACCTTATAAAAGACATCAAATTAACAGTTCCTTTTGCAAAACAAATTAATTATTTTAGTGACGGTCCTTCGAGTCAAGCTACATTTTGTTACTTTTCTTTTTTCAATTGGAGTTCAATTAACTCCATAGATAGCGTTTTTATGATGTCACGAAGCAAAAAATGTCATTCTGCATTAAAACCAAAGTCGTCATTATTAATATTAAAACACAGATTAATAAAACTATTTTTTCTTTTTGTATTGACTTGAAGCACCTTCACTAAAATAATTATAATAAAAACAAAAGGAAGAAGAGTGGCCTGTTTATTTACCCTGTGGAAGCTTTAAATTTCATCCTGTCTACAAAATTATAATTTTACTTGCTAATTGAAGCCTGCAATGAGTTGGTTTTTACCAATTATTATATAGGCCAGTCAACGAAGGAGTAATTTTGACGAATGGCGGAAAAAATTTCCAACCAATTTTTTTTTTTTTAAAGTTGAATTAAGATATTTAGAATGACATACTAAAAGTCCTCATCGATTGGACTTGAGCTTTTTTTTTACAGCCTCGCAAAAGTTCAAAAATATGAGCTTTTTTAATTTTCTCAAAAAATATTTAACTTACAAAAAAAAGTTTCGTACAAAAGTTGTTTAAAAGACAATTATAAATAAAAAAATTATCTTATATTTTTTCATTTAAACAAATATTTTTCGAGTTACATTACATTTAATATGAGTACTAAAATTTATATTCCATTTTTTTCATTTTACGGTTACTTTTTATCATGTTATACTTACATTAGACACAATGTTATAAATGCATATGTGTGTATGTGTGAGTTTATTTATTTATTGTATCATAAAAGTGCAGTGTATATTAATATACAACCGATAGAGTAGGTAATTTATTTATAAAAATTTGTTTATATATATGTAATATTGATGACACGCACGCGTGTACGGGTAACGATAAACAAAAATAAATATAGTTTAAAAAAACTAAAAAAACACGCTTTTAAAGCACATCGAACTAAAAAGTTAAAAATAATTTTTAAAATAAGTTTAAAATAATTATGAACAAAAAATACTAGTATTATTGTGATAAAAGCGTGGGTGCTTTGTGTCATATTTTTCGTATATTGAGCGCCCGACGCTTTTTTGTTTAAAATTGTCTTTTAAACAACTTTTGTACGAAACTTTTTTTTGTAAGTTAAATGTTTTTTGAGAAAATTAAGAAAGCTCATATTTTTGAACTTTTGCGAGGCTGTAAAAAAAAAGCTCAAGTCCAATCGATGAGGACTTTTAGTATGTCATTCTAAATATCTTAATTCAACTTTAAAAAAAAAAAAATTGGTTGGAAATTTTTTCCGCCATTCGTCAAAATTACTCCTTCGTTGACTGGCCTATTAGCCAATTGATATGTCTAAATTTTTAGTATTTGAAGTGTGAATGTGTCAAACGTTCTATGTGCTAAAAAAGTGAAAAATTGTTTTATTTCTGATTTATGTTCTATGTGCCAAAAAGGCCACAATCTTGTATGTGTTTCGAATGTCAATTAAATTTTATTATTTGTACAAAATTGCATTCATAGATGGTGTTCGTTATGTGAGACATGCCAATGTTACCATCGTTTTTTGTGTTTTCTGAACAAACATGTTTTAGGCACATAGAACGTTTGACACATTCACTCTTCATTTAATCTTTGCCCCATGTTGAAAACATTTCAGATATCAAATTTGTTCGTATAACCATTGAATAGGTAAAAGGTTTATCTATTCTATCGTATAACCATGGTCTGTGATAAAACTTAGAGAAAATTCAATATTTAAGGTTATATAACTAAACTATGGTTATTCTGAATTATATTCCCATGTGGTAAATTGATAACTTAAAATTAATATTTGTATTCCATTAAAGTATTTTATTCGTTAATTTTTTTGTTTTTTATTTACTAAATTATTTAAATAATTAATTTGATTGATATTTCTGTACAATTAGTTGCTACATTGCTATTTAATAATTATCTTATATAATCCTATTTAAAATGAAACAACTAGCTGATGATCGAATGAAAATTTTTTTTGAAAAATTATCCAAATAGTAAGTTAATTTTTAATCAGAGTTTATTTATTTTCACTTGGATACATTTGTAAAACCAAAATATTTATCAAACTAACGAAATTTAATGAATGTTTTATGTTATAAAATTTATAAATTAAGTGTAATAATAAAATACATCGTTGTTGCATAAGAAAATATCAATTATGTACATTTTAATGTTGCATTTTACTAATAAATATTGAAAATAGCACTTTACCCAATTATTTTTTAATTACTTAAATAAAAATATATGATGTATTCTGAAGTATCTTAGAACTTAATATATAATAAAACTTAAATAATGATAAAATATGAACAAATAGTTATTTAAGTAAGCTTAAATTAAAGAAATATTCTTAACAGCATTTATGTAAATCCACATTATAATATTTTTATATAGATTAAAATAAATTATTGGTATATTTGATTATTTTACCAATATTAAAATTCATTAACCTATTTTTATAGGAATTAAGACCTTAGACTGGTACATTACCTTGAGATAGGCACCCATTTTAAAAATATTGCTACCATTAAAAGTGACAAAAAAAAAAAAACCCAGTAATTATTCTAACAGGCTAAAGAAATTTAATATGGACCCAGGTGTTAGTCTTTTCTTAATTCGGGTGTTATTATTTTAATACCATTATGCATTTGTTTGGTAATACAAATTTAATGATATTTGGTTTGCAAATGTCCATGTCCAATTGTTTATGTATAAACCAATTGTCATGTACTAGTACATGACAATTGGTTTATACATAAATTTACTATCTAGAAAACCAAAAGTAATTTGTATAATAGTTTAAATTTATTTATGTAATATCAAGTTATATTATTTTTAGCATTGGAGCAAACATTAAGTTACTTATAGATCGTTCAGATGGTAAGTATTGTTTTCGTGAAAAAAAAGATCGTGTGTATTATGTATCAGAGAGAGTGTTGAATATGGGATCTATGATGAAACCTGATAACGTTATAAGTATAGGCACATGTTTTGGAAAGTTTACCAAATCTGGTAAATTTAGACTTCACATTACTTCTTTAGATTATTTAGCCCCGTATGCTCAGGTATATATTTGTATACATAACTATTTTAAAGATTAATATTTTAATTTATTTAATGGTACTGTATAGCACAAAATGTGGATAAAACCAGCAGCTGAACAACAGTATTTATATGGACATAATGTTTTAAAATCTGGTTTAGGGCGAATAACTGAAAGTACAACTCAATACCAAGGTGTTATTGTTTTTTCCATGAGTGATGTTCCTTTAGTAAGTATTTATGAATGAGTTATTATGATGCCTTAAATGATAATTAATAATTCTTTTGATAAAATAAAAATTTTAATTCTTTTTAATTTTATAATAATTTTTTCCCCTACTTAATAGTATTCACTATCTAAATGAAATAAAATAGTTAATTTTTATAATATTTAACGTCTTAAAAATAGTTTAAGAGATTCTGTTTTAGTTCACTACTAAACAAATTAGATTATAAATTGGTTTCTTAGATACTAAAAGAATAACATTTATAGGAATGCTAAGTTTATTTTCCTCTACACAAAAATTATCATACAACCATTAATATATTTTTAAAACTTTTAGGGAAAAGCTAAGTCCCTTAGTTCTTTGAGTAATATAATATCATTTAGGCTAGCATATCTAATTAATATACTTATTATAAGAAGTATATTAGCAATACTTGGTTACTGGATTTTAATATTAATTGCTTTTATTATTTTTTAAAATATTAAAAGAAAATAGTAAATAATAGTAACATAATGTATTTTGCAACAATTAATACTTTACAATAGGGTTATTTACTAAAAGATTACCTTAAAATTGTTTTACTTATAAATATAATTTTTTTCAGGGTTTTGGTGTTGCTGCCAAAAGTACTACAGAATGTAAGCATACAGATCCTTTGTCAGTTGTATGTTTTAATCAAGCGGATATTGGAGAATTTATTCGATGTGAAGATGATTTAATTTAAAAAATACTAAATTAATATTTTTTTTAATTATTTTAATTATTGAATGATACTTCTATTAATAATAAATGTTTTGTATAAAGAAAATATTCCAAATGGATCTGGAATTATTTTTACTATATATCAGCTGTATTTTTAAGTACCATTTCATTAATTTTGTTGATAATAATGATAACATATACTTGATGTACTTACTTAAAAATAATATTTATAAATAGTAATTTGTGAACTTGTATATTCAAAATTTTTTTATAATTAAAATTTTTTTATAATTAAAATTTTTTTAATTTAATTTAATGTTTTTTTTTTTTTTTTTATCATTTCAATTATTTAATTAATTAAAACTTAAATTATATCTATATTCTACTTAAAAATTATCAAAAACTAGATAACGTAAGTACATCAAGAAAGTCCCTGAAATATTATGTTATTTTTTGTATTGGTAGGTTATCAATAAAATATCAATTATTTTTCTAAATCCTAATCAATGTATATTAATGAAGATTTCAATTTTGGTGCAGGGGGAAATACTCTTTTTAGATCAAAAAGTCCCCGTGTTATTTTATATACCTATAATAAATTCATAGAGTATGGTGTCTCGGAAGAAATCCAAACAAATTTTATAAATACATAGTCTCAAACATTAGTTATCAGTATTTAAAATTTACTAATGAAGAGTGCATATTAATATGTTTTGTTTTACTATTTTACGCATTACATAATGTGTAAAATTCTTAAAATAAAAAATAATCATGATAATGTAATTCATCATGACTATGACTGGTAAATAATTCAAAATTAAGTGATCCAATTTGTTAACTTGTAGTTTTAAGAAAAATTATATTTATAAATTGAATGTCATTAAATCAAAATTACAAAAGCAATGAGATTATAATACAATAGCTTAATAGTATTACATTCTGGTTATAATTTCATGGCCAAAATTTTCTATTTACGTTTGCTTTGGTTAGATGTGGCACGCAAAACAGCTCCTGGACTTGGATAAGGACGCATTTGAAATAAAGGCCCCGAGGCTGTAGTATCTACACCTGTTTTTGTTTCAACAGCTAATCCATCATTCCAAGAACCCCTAATAAATAAAATATAAATTAAAAACTTTAAATAAATTTATGATCCATTACAATATATTGAGGTATAAAACCTAGTGAGGATTTTAAAACATTATATGGGATGGTTCCTTAATGATTTACTTTTGAAAATATTTGAGCTAATCATTAATTTATTTTCTTAACAATAATATTTCTTTATTGAGCTGCCTTAAACGAAAAATGTATTTTTTTTGTTTCTACCCATAATACCCAAAACTTGTATTAATATAAATTTTCAAACAACAACATCAAATTTTTTATGTGAAAACATCTTATGTGAGCGTTATCTTTTTTTGTGTAACACTGATATAATCCAATAGGTTTTCATCACCATTGTAACAGAACTTACTAAATTTAACATCTGTGTAAGGCAATTTATTATATTAATTTTACATTTTTAATTATTAAAAATTATTTTAACACTATTTACTACCGGTTCGGTTTTCTCATAAAATTGTTAAAAATACTAGGTTTTGACTAGTCAAAAATATTTATGGTCAATTAACTAGATTTTGACGAGTCAAACTTTGTCAAAAACTTAATTATTGATCAAACAGTGAGTCTTCTTTTAATGAAAATTAAGGCTAGACAAGTTTATTTCCAACTTGTGTTAAGTTAGATTTAAAAGAATAGGGCTGAGTTATGATTTATGAGTTAATGAGTTTTAAAAATTAATAATGAGTTAAGTTAGCTAATAAAAAATTTTGGTGATCATATAAAAAGTAATTTTTTTTATTTGAAAGGAAGAATAAATTCCAACAAGGAATCTATTTTTAATATTTCATAATATTACTAAAAAACTTGCATACAACATATTTCTGTTATTACTGTTCATGACAGACAGTATAATAACTTCACTCACAGTACAATTCATATTTTTTTTTTCAATATTTTATTATTTCTTAGGAAAATTTCAGTACTAAATAGTCCATAAACCACAACTACTGAACACAAATTTAACTTATTAAAAAATAAAACTAAAGTTCTTTTCAAAGGTATCCGGTTAAATTAATATATTAAACTAACTTAACTTTCAATTTTTTAATGTGTGAGGTATAGCTTTGGAAAAAATAAAATAAAACTTTCAGAAAATAACGACTAAATGCGTAAAATAACTATTTTGTATGATAAAATTAAAAAATTTTATTACAGGTTTTAATTTTTTATTTTTATCAATTGATATTGTGCCAACCCCAAAAATTACTATTCATATAAGTATATATAATACAATTATGTTATAATAATAATAATTATACTACCCTATAAATATAATTTAATTCATATAATTATGATTATCAAAAATAAGAAAAATATTCATGACTTTTTCATTAGTTTCTTATGGTTCAGTTGAATAAAAAGAAAGAAACATCTTTCAATTTACCAATCATAAAGTATTTTTTATGCTCATCCCTTATATAGTCATTTTCTTACTTAGATCATTTTATATAATATAAGCTAGTCAATTATGTATGTTATCATTTGGGAAATTGAAGTTGACACCCTTATAAGGTATAAGTGATAAACAAAAAAAAAACTTCATGATTGATAAATTAAGAGTAACATTAAACAATTGAAAGAAACTAATAAAAAAATAATGAGTATTACTCTTATTTATTTCATTGATTTTTCAATCAATGAAGTGGCCCGTGATAAGCAAATCATCTTTATAATATAATCTATATTTTTTAAATATAATTCTTAAAAGTATTAAAAGAATGTGTTTATGTTGCTAGGCTCATATATATATTCACATATCCTGACAGTTGCACACGACACTCACAGTTCTTTTAATATGAGATTAATTCAATTGAAATAAAAAATTTAATTTTAACAAGTGACAGCTGATTAAAGTTTATAGGTGAAGAAATAAAAATGATCTAATTAAGAAAATGACTGATAAATAACAACTTTTAACCAATTATTTTCGTATTTATTACTATTTCAAAATATAGTCTGGAGATGAGACACAAGTATGACAATATTTATCATTAGACATTTATCGGCCACACTTCTGCTCCTGCCTTGTTATAAAAATAGTGTTGCTGGTCCAAAAATTGTTATTGACCAGTTAATTTCTTAAGTAGATCATTTTTTGTTCTATAAGTTAGTTAAATATATATATGTTAACATATGTGGCGGTCGAATATTCTAGAATGTCCGGCCGCCGCCGCCTCTAGAAGATTCGTCGCTCTACATAAGCGTGTGGCGGTCGAATGTCTAGAGAGTTCCGACGCCGCCTCTAGAAGATTCCTCTGACTATTTAAGGGCAAGATCGTCGCTCCAGTCAGTCAGTCGATCAGTCAATCACTTACGCATTCTGTCTTACACGCGCTTCGTTTCTCGCTGTTATTTATTAGTTCGTTGTAATACAGTTCGTCTCTCGCTGTTAGCTGTTATTTGTTATTTGTTAGTTCGTTGTAATATAGTATAGTTGTTATTAAATCGTAAAAGTGTTTATTACTTCTATATATTACACCTCGCTACATTGGTGACCTCGATGTGATAAGTATGAACGCCGAAGAACTACGCAATCAATTGGAGGAGTTACGACAAGAAAACGCTCGCCTTGCAGCACTACAGGCACAGCAATATCCAACAGCTTCTGTAAATTAATGCAGCATAAAATCAGTTGCCAACACTTCCCCTTGGACTGCACTTCTCGCAGAATTTCCGGACATCACACGTCCCACCGGATTGCCCAGGACAATAAAACATCAAACAGTGCACCACATTCTTACGACACCTGGTCAGCCAATAGCCTGCCGCCCACGCCGCTTAGCTCCAGGTAGACTAAAAATCGCCAAACAGGAATTCGCGGAAATGGTCAAGGCAGGTACCGCTAGACCTTCAAGCAGTCCGTGGTCTTCACCATTACATTTAGCACCGAAAGGGGAGAACAGCTGGCGTCCTTGCGGTGATTACCGCGCGCTGAACGCCCGAACTATACCAGACTCCTATCCAGTCAGACACATACATGATTTCTCGCACAACCTGGCTAATTGCACGCTATTTTCCACAATCGATCTGGTAAAGGCTTACCATCAAATACCTGTTAATCCGGACGATATATGCAAAACAGCCATTACCACTCCATTCGGACTTTACGAATTTCCTTTTATGACATTCGGATTGCGAAATGCTGGACAAACTTTTCAACGCTTCATAGACGAAGTTACCAATGGGTTGGACTTCTGTTATGCATATATTGATGACATTTTGGTATTCTCTAAATCGGAAGAGGACCACAAACAGCATTTACGCACTCTTTTCGGGAGACTTTCTGACTACGGTGTTGTCGTTAACCCGCAAAAATGTGTATTAGGTTCGGCTGAGGTGAAATTTCTAGGTTACCTAGTATCTTCTGAAGGCACCCGCCCGCCACCGGAACGCGTCGAAGCCCTACGACAGTATCCATTGCCAAAATCTATGCAAGGATTACGCCGGTTTTTGGGAATGGTAAATTTTTATCGCCGGTTTATTCCCAAAGCTGCCGACCTGCAAGCACCACTTCACGGTATTCTCAAAGGCCCGAAGACAAAAGGTTCCCAACCGATAGAATGGACTCCCGAGTTAGAAAAAGCGTTCACCACATGCAAAGAAAGTCTTGCGACCGCTACTCTTTTAGCACATCCTCATCCAGCCGCACGACTTGGACTATTCACAGACGCATCTAGCCAATCTATCGGCGCATGTCTGCAGCAGCGAGTCAATAACATCTGGCAACCCATAGCATTTTTTTCAAAGAAAATGTCGGTGAAACAAAGTGCGTGGCCTGCGTATTATCGTGAGTTGCTTGCCATCTATGAATCGGTGAAGTATTTCAGGCACATTGTCGAAGCACAACCATGTACCATTTTCACCGATCATAAGCCACTCGTATATGCTTTCACCCAACGGAGAGAAAAGATACCTCCTACGCAACTCAACCAGTTGACATTCATATCCGAATTCACCACCGACATTCAACACATTAAAGGTGATGAAAATATCGTCGCGGATACAATGTCACGCATTGAAGTTGTGTCTCTCCCGCTGGACTACCGAGCTCTTGCTGCATCTCAAGACACGGATGATGAACTCAAACATTTTACTGACAACAATTCATCTCTTCATTTGGAGAAGGTACTAGTGCCAGGATCTTCAACCTATATTTATTGCGACACGTCAACGGGACGCCCACGACCATTTTTGCCACAACGATTCCGGCGTCACGCATTTGATCAGTTACACAACCTTAGTCACCCCGGTGCACGCGCAACAGCTCACTTAGTTTCAGAACGATTTGTGTGGCCAGCAATGAAAAAGGATTGCCGTTCCTGGGCACGTGCCTGCGTCCACTGTCAGCGATCGAAAATAAGCCGACACGTCTCAGCCCCACTGGGAAACTTTGAAACACCTTCACGCCGATTCAAACATGTTCATATCGACATCATCGGTCCATTGCCGCCATCACAGTCCTTTAGGTACTGTCTGACGGTAATCGACCGTTTCACCCGTTGGCCGGAGGTGTATCCACTCGAACGTATAACAGCAGATGATGTCACTAAGGGTTTCCTCAATTGCTGGATTTCACGCTTCGGAGTACCTCAATACGTTACGACTGACCGTGGTACTCAGTTTGTTTCAGCTACTTTAAAAACTTTAGCAAAACGTTTTGGTTTTACGCTTCGCCCCACTACCAGTTGGCATCCTGCTGCAAACGGATTCGTCGAACGAATGCACCGACAACTAAAGGCAGCCATCATGGCCCACGCAAAAGACTCGTGGACTGAGTCACTGCCTATCGTGCTTCTCGGAATACGTTCTGCGTTTAAGGAAGACTTAAAAGCCACGTCTGCGGAACTTGTTTATGGTGAGCCTCTTAATCTTCCTGGTGATTTCTTCACAGACAAGCAAGATAATAGCAGTACGAACGACCCTACTAGCTTACTAGATCGTCTTCGCAGTGTTATGAATAAAATTCGTCCAGTACCTGCATCTCGCCACTCAAATCCACGATCATTTGTTTTTGCGGACCTTAAGGACTGTTCACACGTATTTCTCAGTCGATCAGTCAATCACTTACGCATTCTGTCTTACACGCGCTTCGTTTCTCGCTGTTATTTATTAGTTCGTTGTAATACAGTTCGTCTCTCGCTGTTATTTGTTAGTTCGTTGTAATATAGTATAGTTGTTATTAAATCGTAAAAGTGTTTATTACTTCTATATATTACACCTCGCTACACATATAAAAAAATAAATTTGACACCTTTATAAGGTATTAATTAATAAAGATAATTAATACATAATAAATCAAAAAAATATATAAAATTTAAAAAAAACCAAAAATAATTTTCTTAACATAATAATTATTTAAGAGAAATTGAGTGGCTAACATTAAAATAATGACCATGTACATATGTATTATTTAACTATTACCTAGCAATATCAGAATAAGCTGCGGGATCCATAGGGTCGAGATCATTTGACTTTATTACTTTTCTTGGTTCTCTACGTTTAGGTTCTCTATCATATCTTATCTCTTTGGCCCGAATTTCTTGGACTGGAGGTGGAGGCAGTATCCTTTTTCTTTTTTGTCTATCATCATCACTATTATCACTCTTCATAAAATTTACACAATAAATAAGATAAAATCAGTTAGTTTCAATAAATGTATATTATGAATAAATATATTTTTAGTATAAGTAGTAGTAGCTTTTTTTCTTGTTAAGTTCGACTTTAAATGCAAATAATAGTCCTAATAATAAAAATAAAATAAAATAAATACTAAATAATAATAAAGTAACAAATTAGGAAAAGTTAGTAAAATAACATATATTATATTAAATGTTGTACTGTGATCAGTAGGTTACTACCACTAAAGCATTTGTATTTGTAAAAATCAAGTCTTCTTTGATGCACTGTGCTGGACATATATCGCATGACAAAAGGTGTTCAATGGTCAGTTGTTTTCCACATTCACAGGTGTGATGGTGTCACGTTACCAATATCGTGAGAATTATTTTAATAAAATACAGACAGCACATCCGCTGCCTGAGACTGATGAATTAACAAATAATATTTATTGCCAATTTGGAAATAGTTCTAATTATTATTTTTTACGCGCTTTTATTAGCCCATTAAGGGCCACAGCGGCCTCCCCAAGGGAGGAGGTTTCTTAACCATTTATACTCCGGGACGGGTGGTTAGTCCGTCGCCGGAGGTGGGATGGCGACTCCAAATTACCGAACTGATCTCTCGTTCGGTAAATGAAGCCGCCCGTGACCGAGTTTCGAACCTGAGACACTACGCGTCAAGCGCTGCCGCGTTACCGACTCGGCCACACCGTCCCTTTAACATCTAATTATCTAATTTAACGTCTAATTATTATAAAAACCCAAAAGACCTGACCATCGTGGTCAGTCGACTCTAGTGCCTTGTATTATTCATCAGCCTCAGTACTCGGTTGTCGCTGTTCGACTTACTGCTTAAAGTAAAGTCTTTGTTTATTCCTTTTTAAATCTATCTACTATCTTTCACAACATTTCAGAGTACTTGTGTCTTGCACTTCGTCTGCACCTTATACTCGGCTACCCTGTTCTCTCTTTGAAGTACTTGTGTCTTGCACTTTGTCTGCACCTCGTACTTCATTATCCTCTCCTAATAACTAAAGTACTTGTGTCTTGCACTTCGTCTGCACCTCATACCTAGGTGTTACCCTGATTCCCTTCCTGTAACAACAGCCTTTCGACAACCACATCTAACCTGGAGTGTCAGCCGAGCACGGTGACTGCAGTACGACAACACGCACGTGATTACCTAGACAGCAGGCACCACATCCTCATATTCATCTTCGTGCACATAACCTTTTACATATACTCATTTCATTTTATTGTGTTACGACACAGGTTTGGTCTTTTTCACTTAAGCCCAATTTTACCAGATTATATTTAATCCATGCTATTTCAGTTTTCAGTCTATTTGAGGTTTTCCACAGTAGTCATAGTATGTATCCACCTAATGGAAGTTGTTAAGTAAGCTGAATAGGTTTTTCCAATTGTAACTCATCTTGCCATTTCTATAGTCTGGCTATTTGTAGGGATTTGTGTAGTTATTTTTCTGTATGTATAAAATTTCTTTTGAATTTTAGTCTTCTTCTTATGGTTTCATGTCCAAATATAGGATATTTCTTGTGCTTTGTTTTTACAATATCAGTGGTTACATATTTTATAATTTTGGATGGAGCTATGCCTAGTAACAGCTACAACTTGTATGTAGGCGTTGGCCTAAAGCATCTTATTATAATCCTGCAAGTATCATTCAGTACTACAGATACATATTGAGCATGTTTAGGTTGGTACCATACTGGATAGTATATTCTTCAGCTAAAAAACATGTACGTATGAGGCTGTGCTCCTTATTGGATCTCTAAGTTATCTAAGTAAATTGTTTCTTATTTGTACTTTCATTTTAGTCTTAACACAATGATCTTTAAATGTAAAAATCATAACTAGGATGACACCTAAATACACAGAGTAATCAATGCTCTGCAATACATTACCTAACCATTCTATGTACATGCTTTTTTTTTAGTGTTGTAGTTCCGTATGTAAAAGCAACATACCTATGTTTTGTTTGAGTTAGATTACTATCATGACTTTTAGTGTATTTGATAGTTTATTCTATATATTATCGAAGGTTGTATTAATTAAATAGAGTGAATCATTGAAAATTAAAGATCAATTATTAATATTGCTCAATAAATAACTGATTTAAAAAACATAAAGATAAATGTTTGAAAAAACAATGAAATAAAGAAATATGTAAAAAGTACCTCAGAATTTGATAATTTTTCTTTCATATTTTGTGTAATAGCATGTCGCTCAAAACGAAATTGTGCTACTGAATCTGTAACTATTGAACGAGGATGATTTGGAGGGAGCCAACTGACTGAATCATTTTCAACATCCCAATAATAAAAACGGCCACTTCAAATAAAAATAAAAATAAATCATATTTTATTATTTTATCTTTAACGCATACATTATGTGTTTTTAGATTTAAACGTAATGGGGGAAAAAATGGTTGGTGTTTTTTTTTATTTTATAGTTTGTTTTGATAGTCAATTAGCAGTAGTATAATGTAGTGATATTCATTCAATGAAAAATGTTTTAATTTTCCATTTGTTATCCAGATATATATCATTAAATATGAGTAACCAAAATTGTAAACAATTTAAAGCTAAGAATTAATATTAATTAAGTATAACAATATTTCTTAAGGAAAGAATGTATTGTACCATTTTTCATATTAAATGTTTTGTAAAAACACTATTTTTCTTTGCAAATTGAATATTTTAATTTGTCTTAATAAACTTTTGAAAAAGGGATAAATTAAATATACACTCTTTGAATGAGATATTATACATTTAATAATGAGAAGAAAAAAATAATAAATAAAACATTTATTATGAATTATATAAGAAAAAAAATAAAACATTTTACTATTTACATTTAACATTTATGGATATATTTTTTTTATCAAATGAAATTGAATCGAAGTTTTGGATTTTACTCACGTTCCTGGATCATATACTTCATGCCAATTATTAGGTAATGGATATTTTTCTAACAATGAATTTCTGGCTTTAAGGTAGCTATTTTTAGGTCTTTTTTTACCATTTTTCCATCGTTGTTCACAATATTTTGTACATTCATGATATACATTTGACTTATTAGGACAACCATGATGACCCTTAATGTGAAATTTAATAATTTTAACATATGTGACCTTTAAATAAATAAAATGTAAATAACTTACTTTAAATTTATCCAATATTTTTGGATCAGGTTTATCATTTTCTTCATCACTATCTTCAGAATCTGTACCAGAATTTTGGTTGTCATCTACATCATCATAGCATTCTGCAATTACTTCTTCTTCTACTTCTTTGATATTATTTTTAACTATAATTATAGTTTTAATAAATTAATTAACTAAAAAAAAATTATGTTATGCAGTTTAAATAAAAGACAATACATGTTTTTAAAATTCAAGAACTTATTAGATATATAATTATATATATATATTATATAAATTATTAGCTAAAAATGATTCAATGTACATATGTAATATTAAATATTTTGTGTCGTAATGACAAAAACTTTTATTTTTGACAAATAACAGAAGCCTGTAAGTGATACTTTTTAAATTAAATTACCATCATTTTCTGAGAGTATTCCTCGGTTTGCTAATCTTTTAGCTAATGCTGGAGGTAAAGGCATTATATAATATTTATTATTCTAACAATTAATAATAAATGTGATTGTTTCAATTTTCGGCCCTTAATTTTGGAGATTTTGTTTTTTAAATAATATTATCACATTTAGATAATGTGTTTTGAGTTATCTTAATTTTTTTTTAAGGTAAATTGATATGCCGGTCTTAAAATCAAGGAATTTAAAATTATTTCTTATTAATTAAAGTATAAATATTTAATTATTCAAGATAATTTTTTTTTAATATAAATTTTTGATCGCACTACTAAGATTTTTTTAGTTTTATATCATAAAGAGATTATTTGATTTTAACTATAAGAACCAACAGTTAGTGTTTGCCCCCCTGTCAGTGGTTCTCCCTTCCACAGGCGTAAAACTGTTTGTCATCCACCAGTCACTACATGGTAGAACATTCTAGAAAATTCCCTCAAATCGATATGCATTTATGAATTTCGACTTTGCCGGTAGTTGGTTAACTGTATTGAATGCATGATTTACACGAGTGATTAGTGATTTTTCGTCTACTTATTTTTTGACCTAAAGTTGCTAGTAATTCGTTTCGCTTATATAAATCCACGTGTTTTTGATTTGTGTTTTATAAATAAAATGGCATCAATGTCCGTAATAGGAATAGATTTTGGTAATGAATCGTGTTATGTAGCTGTGGCTCGTGCTGGTGGTATAGAAACTATCGCAAATGATTATAGTTTGCGAGCAACCCCGTCATGTGTAGCCTTCAGCCCAAGGAATCGTATTATAGGTGTAGCTGCAAAAAATCAAATGGTCACAAATATGAAAAACACAATTCACGGCTTTAAGAGATTGTTGGGACGATCTATTGACGACCCGTTTGTCCAAGCAGAACTTAAATACTTACCATTTAATGTTGTGAAATGTGAAAACAACAAAATTGGTATAAATGTAAACTATCTCAATGAACAACATACATTTAGTGTCGAACAAATTACAGGTATGCTTTTGACTAAATTGAAAGAAATTTCAGAAATATCTCTTAAGACTAAGGTTAATGATTGTGTTATATCAGTACCATCATTTTTCACAAATGCTGAACGGAAAGCATTGTTAGATTCAGCATCGATAGCTGGTCTTAATGTATTACGCTTATTTAATGAAACAACAGCAACAGCACTCTCTTATGGTATTTATAAACAAGATTTACCTAATCCTGAAGAGAAACCTCGTAATGTAGTTTTTGTTGATTGTGGACATACATCTCTACAAGTTTTTGCCTGTGCATTCAACAAAGGTAAACTTAAAATGTTGGCAAGTTCTTTTGATGCCCAGTTAGGTGGTAGAGAATTTGATTATATTTTAGCTGACCATTTTAGCAAAGATTTCAAATCTAGGTATAATATTGATCCAAGAACCAATTCAAGAGCTTTTTTGAGATTATTGGCTGAAGTTGAAAAAATAAAAAAACAAATGTCTGCTAATTCTACCAAGTTACCCATGAATATAGAATGTTTCATGGATGATAAAGATGTTCATGCTGGTATCAACAGATCAGAATTTGAAGAATTATCTATGCACTTATTCAATAGAGTTGAAAATACATTGGATCAATGCCTTAAAGAATCTAAATTGAATAAAGACGACATATATTCCGTAGAAATTGTTGGTGGATCTAGTCGTATTCCATACATTAAAGGTCTAATTGAAAAAATCTTTGGCAAATCACCTAGTACAACATTAAATCAAGATGAAGCTGTATCAAGAGGTTGTGCTTTACAATGTGCTATGTTATCACCAGCTGTTAGAGTTCGAGACTTTAGTGTGACTGATATTCAGAATTTTCCTATTGAACTTGAATGGGAACCTGCTGATAACTCTGATGATGGGCGTGCTGAAGTTTTCCCAAAAAATCATCCTGTACCATTCTCTAAAATGCTATCATTCTATCGTCTAGCTCCGTTTACTGTTAAAGCACATTATACAGGTCCTATTCCATATGCTAATAATTATATAGGACAGTTTACAGTAAGAGATGTTAAACCTACCTCTGAAGGAGCTTGCCAAAAAGTCAAGGTTAAAGCACGAGTTAATTTACATGGTATATTTAATATCAGTAGTGCAACACTTTTAGAAAAATCTGAAATCCAAGAGGAACCTGCAAATCCACCCCCAGAACCTATGGAAACATCAGAAAAAGAACAACAACCAGCTGAAAATGAAGAAAAAACTGAAGACAAAAAGGAAGATAAAAAAAAATCAGTAACTAAAACAATTGACTTACGAATTGAAGCAATTACACATGGTTACTCTACCATGGATTTAAACAATTACATTGAACAAGAAGGGAAAATGGTTGCAGCTGACAGACAAGAAAAAGAAAGAATTGATGTACGAAATTGTTTAGAAGAGTATATTTATGACATGCGGAGTCGCATTTCAAGTGAAGAAGATTTAGCACCCTATATTGTCGACAGTGATAGAGAAAGTATTTCCAAACAATTAGAAGATTTAGAAATATGGTTATATGAAGAGGGAGAAGATTGTGCAAGAAATGTTTATACTGAAAAACTAGATATGTTAAAGTGTGTTGGTGAACCAATTAAAAGACGTAAAGTTGAGTATACCACTTTTCCTTCAGTAAGAGATCAAGTTGTACAATTATTTACAAAAGCTGAAAGTGATATTGAAGCTTATCATAAAGGAAGTGAACAATTTAATCATTTAGATAGTGCTGAAGTTGATAAGTTGAGCGAAAATCTTATCAGTGCTAAGAAATGGTTAGAAGAAAAGTCATCTCTAATTTCTGCAACTCCATTATACAAAGACATTCCAGTTAAATTAGATGAGGTAATGAAGGAAAAACATAGTCTAGAAACTAACGTATTTAAAGTTTTATATAAACCAAAACCAGTACCTAAAGTAGAACCTCCCAAAGAAGAAGAAGCAAAAAAAGATCCTGAACCTATGGAAACTGAACAACCTGTACCAAATGGAAATGATGCTTAAGAGCTTACTTTTTCCTTTATATTTTTGTTTTGTATATCTGTCACTTTGTATTTATATTGTGTGTACTGTGTATCACAAAAGTAATTGTTATGCAAAATTTGTATTTCAAATTTAAAACTAATTCAATAGTCAAACACAAATTTACCAATGTAATAGTAAGATATAAACTTCTTTATAATTTCTTGCTATTTTTGTTAACTATTAATAAACTAACTATCATAAATAAAACAAATTGTTCTTAATATTAATATCTTTATTTAAATGTGTTTATTTCATATTTTCATCGATGGTAATTAAAATAATAATTTATTTAGCTCAAAATAATACAATAATATAAATTATTTTTTATACTTGAAAAACAGTTAACTATTATTTATAATTGTAATTTTATTACATAGTAATATAATGTAACAATTAAAACAAGTTTTGGATTTTTTATTTATGACTCATTTATATATTAAATTAATTATATTTAACGTAATAAAGTTTAATAATCAACTGGTTAATATCTAAAAATTAAAAAATACAAATTAGGATCAAAAAATATTAAAAATACTTAACACTAAAAGCCACAAGAATATTATTAAAAATAAATATGTATTCTTACTATATTATTATTTAACAAACATGGCATCTAGTTCGAAAAAATACACTGAATTATTAATCCCGTAAATATAGACGGATCAATTTCATAGGGAAGTAATCCTCTGCGAAAATAATTCAGCTATGCAAATAAATATAAGTGGTAGAGCCCTTTAAAATTCTATTCAAATAAAGTTAAAATTTGACAAGAATTCAAAATTTAACTAAAAGTCTCAAATAAGTTTAGTCATCATACTTGAACTTTTTTTTAATAAAGTCTTTTTGTCATTCAATAGTTACATATTTTAAAATATAATTTATGAAAAAATAATTTAGTGTGTATAGTAAATGTGGTATTAATTGCTTTCCTAACTAAATAAATCCTTGGTTTTCATTTTACATTGTTAATTAGATAAGTCGTCAAGCTTTTTAATGATGTTTATTTGTTGTTAATACCATTTCATAAGTATAAAAATTATATTTTATTTTATCAATAAAACTAATTTTGGAATCAAAACCTCTTCTGAAAATAATTATATTCGTTTAGTAAAATAAGTTATTAAATTTTGACATCATTTTATTTAAACTGTAGACAGGATTCTAAATTACTCTATTTATATATTTACTTTTGAATGAAGATTTGTGAATAATATGATAGGATGTAAGGACCTCTGAGTTATAAGATTAACAATTGTTATTTAAATAGAAATTTCAACTTTTTTAAAGTAGAAATTATAGATATTGATAGTTTCGAAATTTGGAAGTTTTTAATTAAATAATTAATATTTTTAAATTATTAAAAACCAGTAATTAGTATTTAAAATTTTGTAGTAAGGGAATTTAAAGTCAACTTTAAGATTGTTAGGGATAAAAATTAAGTATACTTAAATAAAATAGAAAATTGTATAATTTTTTCTGTCCAACAAAACTATGTAAAATTGTATGTTGCTACCACTTAATTTCAAGTGATAATATTAAAACAGCAATGTATATACTACTTTAAAGCAAATAATTTATAATTTCAATCATAAAGTTATTATACTATGACACAAGTAAGTAAAATCAATGTTTAAAAATCTTCTTTTAGGTAAATAATAGTTTTTTTTTTTATAAACATGTAATTTATTTAATTTACTTTAGTTTTGTAAATTCAAGAATTAAATAAATATTTAGGGTAAAATTTTAGCAAATAAAACATACTTATTTGGATAAATACACTGAGGAAAATAAATGAATCATAAAATAGAAAAAGGTGGATATTTAGGAAGATTTCTAAATAGTAACCAAAAAAAAGTACTTAAGTTTAATTACTAGGAAACACGAAAATTATGTTATTTATTATATACAAAATCAACAAAATTTATGTTAAATGTTAAAATTTTTTACACAATCTAAACATAAATTAAGTAAAAGAATTTAAACTGTAAACATTATATTTTAATAATTAATTTTTTTGGTAAAATTTAATATTTTAAAGAAAGGAAAAGGAATATTTTATTAAATGAACTCCAAAACTTAAACTTTGTGACTTTGGCTGCATATATTTTAAAAATTAGGTGAACCCATAGCGCTTCACTTACAACTTGAATAATTCTAGAGAGTTAAACAGCATTTTATTTCTTAATATAAGTATCATTATCATAATAATATAGAATACTTAAAAAACAATGGTTATCATTTTAAGTTACTAACAGTTATAAGTTATTTATCACTTTCTAAATTTAGATGAAATTAAACAGAAATTGTTAAAAAAATATTTAGCCACTTAGTATGTAAAAAAAAAAAAAAAAAAATTGTAGCTTGATAACTTGTAAAGTTATCGAGTATTATTTGTCCAAAGCTGTGTTTGTTTTAATGGCAATAACACATTCTTCACCACATGACTTCAATACAGTACACTAAAAAAAAAAAAAAAAAATGAATGTTTTTAATTCTGAAACTTATTATTTATAAATCTATATTTACAATTATATCTTTTCCGCTATCAAATTCAGTTTTTAATTGTACCCCAAGATCACCTTCAGGAAGCTTTAGGTCTTCACGTAAATCACCATTGTCTGTCATCAATGATAAGTAGTTGTCATCTGATATGTCAGTCAACTAAAAATTTTAGTTAAATTTTATTGTTATATAACATTTATTAAAGAAAAAAAAAGATTTACTAATTATTTGCAAATGTAATTACCTGATAATCTTCACGTTTAACAAATGGAACATCCATATTATGAGTTGATGGACAAATATCTTCATACTTCTTACCAGAAAATATATCTAAACCTACTAAATGAACCTTAGCATGCCCGTGTTTGCCAGTTTTAGATGTTGACATATCCACAATTTTACATGGTCGACTCTATTAAAAATGTAAAATAATGTTGACAATTAGAGAATGTATAAATAAGTTTATGAAATAGTACTTTTACTCTTAACAAAATTTGTCCGTAATCATATTATTAGGTAATTGAATATAACTTAAAATTCAAATATATTATAAAATGTAAGTCCTGTCTATGTTAGTTAGTAAACTTGACTAAAATATTATGGATTGTTTTGATTCAAAGTATAAATAGGTACATAATGTTATATATTTTGCAATTTTTTCAAATATATAAATAAAAACTATTAAAAACCATTTTTTAATGATTATACTATTGGAAACTACTAAAGCTCTTAAATAATTTTTCAAACCAGAAATATCTTGATATAATTATGAAATTATCTTTTTTTTTATATAGTTATATATTTATTGACTTATGAGTCAAAACAAGAAACTTATAATTGAAAATTGATATTTCTAAGAATTTGATTAATGAAATGTAAATTCCCAATAAGCACAATGATTTTAGCATTTGATAAGTAAATAGGTATAATTTTTTATAATCTTGACTCAGAACAAAATTAAAAGGATTAATGTTTCAACCAACTAGTAATATTTAACATTAAAAATAAATATCAAACAGCCAAAAGTGTTCGTTCAATAATTAATTATAAATTAGAATAAACAAATAATAATACTTTGATCATCACAAAACCGTTCTTTCTTAGGGCTGAACATTGCATGGGGAACGTAGTTGAAGCACCAGAGTCGACAGCATCAAAATGAGTATCTTCCATATCGCCCATTTTCAAAAAATAACTGAAATTAAACAGAAAATTAAATTAACAAGGGTATTAAATTTTTCAAAGAGAATTTAAATAGAGAATAAATATTCTGAAATCCCGTTAACAGAAAGTAACCTAGAAAACCTCGTGAGTATTAAGTAAATTGGATATCAACAGTTCGCTTTTATATCAACGTGTTGGCCATTGACGTGTAATATAAAGAAAAAAAAGATTTACTTACTTTGTTAATAGAAAAATAACAAAACAAACTACTTAAATTATTAAGTTTTAAAATCTAAAGAATGAAAGAAAGTTAAATTTCTTAATATATCAAAAAATTTAATTGAGTTGAAATTTTAGTCTAAGGGCGACACAACAGCACAAAAAGAGATGGACGATAAGTCGGCGCTATTTTGGTGTGATTACCACCACCTAGTACTGGTCTAAGCGACTTTTATTCATGGAAGAAAGAAGTTAAGTTCCCAGTAAAAAATATGAGTTTTATTTTTTTTCCTATAATGTTATTTTGAATATGAAATCCATTACATAAAAAATTATTTTATCTGAGATATGTCAATCTTGCTTATGAATAACTTATGTTTATTTGACGGTTCTAAAAAAAAATACTATTTTCAACATAATTCAATGTATTGAATTTCAAATATTTATAAAATTATTTTTCAATATTCATAATTAAAATCTGTTTTGCTAATATAAATACTAAAATTGGAAATTCATATTTACCTCATCCATTAACAAATAATTGGTTAACTTTTTTTGAAACAAGCGTGAATCGGGAAGGACATGATTCTCCAGTAGGCTATATATTATTGTGTTTATCTAATTTGCTGTATGAAAAATTATATTAAGACATTTTTTACATTAATCACTATATATATAACGCTTGATTTCACCTTCGTGGAAGTTATAAAATTAGTAAGCGGGTTAACTTTTAGACATCTTTTTTTCTAAAAAATTAAAGGCACAACAGATATATTAATTATTGAAGAACTCTATCTATAAACTTCGACTATATGTCCATAATTTTAAATGGAAAATATTATTTTTAAAAAGTAATTATTGGGCATTACCTGCAAAATTTGAAAAATTTAAATATTTAGCTCGAGTATGATGTAGACACTATTAAAATATACAGAAAAATGGGTGGCAGTGAATAGGACATATTTAGTCCCATTTAAAAAAAAATATTTAATATAAAAATATTTTTTGTTAGTAGAAGGTAAGAAATAAATATGGGTAAGGGGCTAAATTGCCTCTCCCTCTACTGAGCTCTTTGTGTGCGACCTGCAAAAATTGTTTTAATACACTGATGATCATTGTAGTATTCTATTTACTCCTTATGATATTTGATTGCTTTTAAAGAGATTAGAATAATGTATATTTATGATATTAAAACCAACAAGGGATTTTTATTTGATGTACATATTTATATTTTCAAACTAAAATTAGAACAAATAGAAAGTAATATTAAAAACTATTATTAAATTAATATAGAACACAAAATTTAATAATATATTTTTATAAAATATATTCAAATATGGTGATATATATATTACAAAACATAAATAGACCATAACTGATAAACATCAGTTCATAGGACAAGCAAAAACAGCAAACAGAGGTAAATGGTCAGATGGACTAACTTTATTTGGCATTGGTGGCAACCTTAGACATTCGTCTTCAAATGGTAGTTTTGTGTAAGATTTCAATTTTAAGCTTTTATGTCTAAAATAATGAGTTTAAAATAATAAATTTATATTTATATAATAATAACTTATAAAATTTGTGTAAATAAAATATTGATGAAATACTTACGTATAAAATATATAATCTACTATGATCCACTTATCATGATAAGTAGAACAACTTCTATCACTATACACAGAAGCAAATTTTAAATTGTGATATAAGTTTCCAGTGCAATGACTAAAATGCAATTCAAGAAATGATTAAAAAATATATGTAAGGTTATCAACTTTTTTTTTCTTACTCATATTTAGAATTTGATGACCATTGTTGATCATTTTTTCTTTCACTATGATATAACTAAAAACAAAAAATAATATACTTACCATATGTATTATACAGATGAACCTATTTTTCTAATGAATTCTTAAGTTAATAATTGTGTATAAAAAAATTGAAAGAAAAATATTTTTAATAAAATAAACTAACATAGTGCTAAAATTATACATAATTGTGATTTTTTAAATTAAAAAGAGTGGTTATATCAACAATATTTTTTATTACACATGAAACTCCGTTTTATTTTTTTTACTTAATAAACTTTATATGATTTAGTATTTTTTCAAAAGCTTACTCGTAAATTAATTAAAATTACATTAGAGATAATAATCAAATTGATAGAAACAAATAATAATGGCTGATTTTTATAACTGAGTTGGTAAATAAATAAATTAATAAATCTAATTCTAATAAATAAATAATATTACCTTTGAGTACAAGCTATCATTAGTTTGTCGCTCATGATTATTTGAAGTTCTCAAGTCTAATATATGGGCATGTTGACTATTTTCAGTTATGCCCAATCTTTGAGGGATTAGCTCATTTCCCATTTCTAATCTTCCACTATTATGAGTTTGTGGCCATAGTGTAGGTTTTTGTAACTCACTATAGTTCAGAGCACCATTAATTAAGAAATTATAAACAGCTGTATTAGGTTCTAAGTTAAAATCACCAGTCAGTATAATTGGATGATAGATAGGAATAATACGACCACCAACACTAAATAAAAATAGAAAATAAAACTATTGCACATAAATAAATTATAATAAATTGTATCCTAAATTGTACAGATTTACAAAAGGAATAAATGGTCAGAATTAGAACATTAATATTAGAATATAACAGGAATTTAGAATGATAGTTTAGTTATATAATTTTTGTTTTATAAAAGTTACTCTGGAAGTTTATTAGAATATCATTAATTCTTACACTATTAATATGGATTTTGCTTAATCAAAATAACTTCTAATCATAGATATATTAACAATGAACTACATACTTGTTAAATCCTTTATAAGATACTCTTTCAATTTCAGCAAGCAGTATGTGTACTTGAGCTAACTTTACATCATGTCTCTTTTTATTGTACAGTATGTGTGTAGTGGATACTATCACATTTTCTTGTTCATTTTGACGTGGTGACAATCTCAGCACAATACCTACATTATCACGATCAAGTACACTAATTCCAGGTTGATTATATTCAACAGTAACTTTTTCTTTTAGTAAAAATTTATCATTTTTATAATAAATTGCACAACCATCTCCGTGATTTCTAGTTCGTTGTTTGTACACTCCATTATAACCTAAATAATAGTAAATTGAACACATTAAAATAAACATCATAATATCTATAAATATATAAAATATTATTGGTTTTAAGATATTTTACCTAAATCTAATAAATTCTTAAAAAACCAGTTTAAATGGGATTCTTGAACTTCTTGGAAACATATAATCTGTAAACAATAATTTTTGTTCTTTATTAACTCTACATCTTTTGTAGTATATCAATAATACAATAACAAAAAATGAAAAATTTTCTCTTGTCTACAATATTTAAGTTAATACTATACCAAAATTTATTACTGATCCCGAACCTAACTTTAGATTCTTTATATAACATTTAGTTTTTTAGATGATAAATTATTAAGTAATTAAATAATCTAATCATTTAAAAAACTTAATAATTTATTTTTTTTAACTTTTTTAATATAATTTTATTATGTTTAAAAAGAATTATTCAAATTTTTGGGCATATTCATGAGGTTTATCTGTTTTTATAGACCTTTAAGTTGGAATTTGATGAGTATTTTCTAGAAAAAAAGCTGAACTTTTACTATATCTGTTTAATAATAATTTGTATCACTGCTGAATGATAAGTTCTCTTTTATCAATAGTCGGTGTTCATCAGGCCAATGCCACCAAAAAAAATTCAAGTTTGGTAGTAGTGAGCAACATGTTGTTTAGTACATTTTTTGTTGTTTTTCCTTGTATGGTTTTTAATATTTTCTTCATTAGTTTGCACTTTAATTATTAGAATTTTTCATTGATCAAAGAATGTTATTTAGATTACATTATTCAATAGAAATATAGTTCATATCTGTTTTGGAATAATTTAATATAATATTTTTTAGATTTATAATGCGGTATGAGGACAGCTGATGTGAGTGTAGAGGATGTGAGGGATCATGTCAAGTAGAAGTTTAGGATAAGGGTGGCTGACCTCAAGTGGTTGGGATTAAGGCGAGGAAGAAGAAGATTTTTTAGATTTATATATTCTATATATTTATAGATACAAGTTTCTGGCTATTCCGTTAGAGATAATATTCTGGTTGTGTTATTAAAGTATTTAGTAGCAGTCTAAATGTTATTTGTGTAGTTGTTTGTTACAACTCCAGTAAGGTTCTGGCTGTGTAGTGATGCCTTCGTGGGGTTGCATTGTTTAGTGTTATACTTTTGTATAATTATAGATTCCAGAGGTCAGCTGGATGAAATAATTAGCATATTTTATTTTTATCTAAAAAAAGTATTGTCTTAACAAGTAATGGTTTAGGACTTAAGTCTCAAGAGAATTAAATTAATAACACAATAAAATAAAAAGCATCAGAACTTCAGTTATGATTCAGACCCTAAATCTCTATATCAAACACTGAAATTCTGATATTTTATACACCAATTAATAATGATATATATTAATAATTGTAAATATTTATATGCTTATTTGAATTGTAGACACAAAATTGTTTTATAAGTTTAGCTGCCAAAGCTCTAAATAAATAAAACTTACATCAGCATTAAATTTTTTAATTTCATCAAGAAGAATTCGCTTTCGATATTCCCAACTTAACACACGCAAATCTGACCAATCATACAAAAAAGAATTCTTTTCAAGTAAGTATTGGGCCAAAATATTATATGATAATACACTAAATTCATATGATGTACTTTTTGCTGAAAATAATTAATATAAAAATATAGATATATTAATAAATTTAATTTGAAAACATTTTATATGGAGTCTTAAAATTTCTAAATTTTAAATAAAAAAAGACTAAGAGATAGTTTGATTAATAATTTATTTGTAAAAATGATAGAATACACTTTAAAGTTTATCATAAACCATTTGATTACTTATAAGCTAAATACAATATTGAAAAAAAAGTTTTTCTTAATTACAAATATTTTTTGATTTATTAGCTATTAATTACTTTTAGAATGATCCCTTATAACTCATTGGAGTATTAAATATATTTAAAAAATATTAATATACTAGCAATTTAACTAGCTTATTTAATAAATAATGACCTTATTGAGATAATGACGGATCAATAATAACTTTAGGTTCAGTAAACTATCAACATTTTATATTTGTGGTACGAGGTGAGACATGGGTGTTATATTTATTACTAGTCATTTTCCAGATGTATTCTTTCTCCTGCCTTGGTATAATAGTAAGAATAACTTCCAAAGTTCTGATTCAATAGTTGTTATTGGCTAATCATTTTCTTAATTTGATAATTTTTTTTTTAATTAGATAGTTAAATATATTAAGATATATATGTGACTAAAAGAAAAAAAAAATGTTTGTGTTTAATATTGTTTTTATTTTATGAGTAATCATGAGGTTTATGATAAACCGATCATTCTGTATAATAAAAATTTTAATAGAAATTACTTACAATCAATACATTTTACAGTAGGTCTTATATTGTTAAGATAGTTCTTTAAGTTGAAACCTGAAAATGGAGCATTCCTAAATGTTGAAAGATTGTAGGCATCTGTTAAAAGATCTTATAACTTACTGCATAATTGATTTTGAATAGCCGAAGTCAATATTAGCGATTGTAAGAAAACGAGTTTGTTGACATAACTTTTTGAAAGTACTGGCGAGATACATAAAAGTAACAATAAAAACATGAAATACCAAGAAATAAATTGAAATTATTTATAAGTAGAATGTAAACTAGTAAATTAATTTCATTTGATATAAATTTTAATAAATATTACAGCAAATTGAAGGGCAAAATATTCTTGCATTTTCTTTGAGAAAATGAGATAGAAGGCTACTGGTAGCTACACAACTGTTGTTGACTGATAAAAATAAAAATATTTGGAAATAGTGATAAAACTATTCTCATATGATAAATTAAGTGATACCACAAATAAACTAAATTAATATTTTATCCTAAAATGAGCGTCATTAGTTCCATTTATTTTTTAAAAATGACACAATTTCTATCGTTTTGAGCTATCAAATTATTACTCATTTGATAGATACGACATGGGATTTTAGTTTTTATAATTATTATTATTATAATGATAATTTTTTTAAATCGCCGCGACGATTTTAGGAGATATCGGTACGTAAACAACGCGTTGCTTATATTATTGAAGGCTGAACTTATAGTTGGCTAACCTGAAAAAATGACAAATGCATATTTATCAAATAATTTTCGAATAATAGTGAACTTTTCAATACGGGAACTATTTCACTTATACTAATATCTTACCACGAATAGTTATTGTAAACGAGTGGTGGTAAAAGAGGTATTAGTTCACTAAGTTTTACTTATGATTACTCGTGTGTGGTTTGTGATGTTCGACGTATACCAATGATTGATCTTCGTTTACTCTTTCTTGAATTATTAGAGACGTTTATGCGACTTGAAATATGATCAAATCTTTTTTTAATTATGTTATAGTGTAATATTTTTAAGAATTCACAATCGCAGTGATTAAATCGTGTCTTTTTTGTTTACTTTAGTCATAAAGATTGTGTTGTAAAAAAAAAGTTAATGTAATGGAGGAAACAAAAGTTATATATCATATTGATGATGAAGATACACCCTATTTGGTCAAATTACCTATTTCAGCAGACAAAGTTACACTTGCTGATTTCAAAAATGTACTCAATCGGCCAAATTACAAGTTTTTTTTCAAATCTATGGACGACGACTTTGGGTTAGTGATAAGGAATAACTATTGTAAACAATATTTATGTCAACTAAATTTCTATTACTTTACCCACCAGTATGATAGTCGATTTTCTCAGATTATCCAGATCAGACAGTTATTGGTCCCATTTTAAAACTATATATTCACAGTTGAAAAAAAAAATTACAATTTTGACAAAAATATGAAGCAGTTATTCGGACTTACTATTAAAAACTATATTGCCTGCTAAGAAGAATAGTAACTTATCTCCGAAAAAGCTCTTATGAGACAATTGTATTTTAGCAGACACTAGTTAAGCTAATAAATGGTCATTCATTCACAATAAAATTAATTCATTAAATAACACTTTGGCATGCTTATCTCATTTTTGAAGATTTTGAAGTTAGGTGACTATTGTTTATAGCACACAATATATACTACTTAAAAATGAACACAGTAAAAAAGTACTTAGTATTTTGTTGTTAAAATATTTAAAAATGTGTCAATAACTGTACCATATAATGAGTTAAAATAATTTAACCACAATTTATGAAACATGTTGGTATAGTTAAGTTGGTATTCAATTATTTATGTTATAACATAAATAAGTTATAAAAAGTTTATAAACTTGATATCATGAAATTAAAAAAAGAGTTGTCTTTGTAATCTAACCTTTCAAAATTGTTTTCTTCTAATAGCAAAAACAGATTCCAACTAGTTAATTTGAGATTAAATTTTGGTGCATCATAATTGTCTACATCCATATATGAATATATCTTTATATTAATAGGAAGATTATTGTTATACATTTTTCAGAGGATGACCATTTAGTTTATTGTGTAATTGAGATACTGTAAAGAACAAGAATCCATAGCAGATAAGGTACCATTTGTAGGATTCAACTCTGTGTAATTTTTGTTCTTTAATAAAGCAATATTGCTATCCCTAAATTTCTCTTTCAAAATTTGAACTCTGCTATCTGTGGTGTCAAAACTCTATAAGGTACCTTGAAAATTTAAGTCCCCTGTTAGTAAGAATGATTTGGAAAGTTCATTGATGATGTTTGTTTAAATTAGATGTTGATATTGTAAGGTTTGGCTTTTAAGCCATTGGTATTTCATTGAATATTATTATTTTTGATAAAACTTTTTTGATTTTCATGTGAAGAAATAATTAAAAAATAATATTATTATATGATATGTATTTGGTTTAAAATTAAAATGAATATTCATGCAAATATGTTTATAAAAGTATATATATATATTGATATGAAAACGAATAAGACAATAACTTTTCAGAAGATAAAAAAAAAATTTATGCTTTAATTAGATGCTATACATTTATCTATTTTCTATGGTGTTTAATTGGGCGAGTTCAATAATATTTTTAACTGAGAGAAATTAATAGATTGTTTTAAATTATTAATCATTATGTCTTATGCTGGTTTGAGTAATTTGTCTAGTTCTTCAATAAATAATTCTGTGGAGTTGAGTTTGGGCTGACTAGTTTTATGTCTTGTATTTTCTAAAAGTTTATCCTTTATGTTTTTTTAATAGGGGTTTATATGTATATTAGGTGGTTGAGAATGTTGTAGTTGAAAGAACATTGACACTTCTTTTAACTGGAAATGATATTAGGTTTATAACAGTTGTGTCCATTTGTAATTTAAAATTGGCTGATGGGCTTGTCTGATTGTAGTTAAAAGGCTTATCATTAATCTTATCATCTAATCCAATATATATTGTATATTTTGTTAATATTTATGTATATGTTTGTCACTGTTGTTTGAAATATGAGATTTAAATTTAAATAGACAACATAAGACAGTAACAACAGAAAAATATTCTGAATTTAGTACCATCATGATCTATTGTTATTGAGTGGAAAGCTTTACAATATCTTTAGGGTTAATGTAAAATTGTTTATAGGCATTAGAATGTGGATAATCTCAGTAATATTAATACTTAATTTCAGAATAACCATTTAAAAAATAGAAATAATAGAAATATTTTTAATTGCTTCTAAGATAACTTTGTTAAGTATGAATAGAATGGACATATGTAAGATATTATAACTTTTTTAGCTGAATTGGTAAGAGCATGAATTTTATTAGGAGTATCATCTATTGTTAATACTAGATGGAACTCTCTATTTTTTTCAACTATATCTTTGTGGGAAAAGTTTATAGTAAACCCGTTAGATAATCTAGATGCTGAAACAACAGAAAATTGAGAAAATAAGTTCCAATTTTTAGAATATACTCTATTAACTAGAGTATATACCTCAATTTTTGAGGTATATATTTTATAGTATTGAAAGCTATTGTATTTTTTCTAAGAAGATAAAGATGATTTGAATTGGAAGTAGCTTAAGTATAGTTTAGAGGTTAGTTTAAATCTGAATTATTTACCTTATGAGAGCAAAAAGATTGTATCTTCATAGGCACAACCACCTATAGAGATACAATTATGGCAGAGATAATTAATTTCTATACTATTAGAAATAGTACATACTAGTTTATTTATATCATGTAGCATAGATTACAAAATAAGTATAATACTTCACTATTGTACATTTGTTCACTATAAATATAAAACACATACTGAGTAAAATTTTATATCAAAGATATTTAACAAAAAATTTTTATGGAGTAATCGGTTTTGTCTTTAAAAATTTTATACTTCTTGATTAGACATAAATTAATAAGATAAGTTTATTCTCTAATAAATTTAATACATAATTTTGATTTTTGCCATTTTAGAGTTGTAAAAGAAGAAATCGTAGAAGATGATTCTCCATTACCTTGTTTTAATGGTCGTGTTGTTTCATGGGTGAGTAAGCTTCTACATTAAGGATAGATATTAACTTAACATGAACGGTATATGAGAAAAAACAGAAAAGTTATTATAAATTAATATTTTAAACTTATTTGAAATTCCAATAATATTAACTATGTCTGATAAATTCTTATTATATAATAAGAATTATTAATTATTTTTATCATATTATCTGGATTTTTACTAAAAATGTATGCAATTTAAAATTATGTTTAAATTGTTGAACTAGTTGGTTGCTGCAGAAGGCAGTAATATTTCTGATGGTACATCTCAAGGAACAGATTCAGGTCATCATACTCATAGAACTCAAGCAGATAATCAGTAAGTTTAAATTTTTGGAATTATCTATTCTATTTATTATTATTAAACTAAATTATGCAATATTAGTAAAAATCTGTCTTATAATATATTAATTATAAAACTTTAACAGAAACATAAAAACATCTTCTCGGGTAAATCAAGATGAAGTTGGAACATGCACTGATACAGAATCATCAATTTCAAGTTCAGTACGACCAGGGCACATGAGTAGAGACAATCATCATCGTTTAGCAAATCCTAAATTTTTAAAATATAATGGCCTTGGAATAAATGGTCATTTAAAGCAACATAGACCATATGGCTCATCTTCAATGTTAAGTTCAGAATTAGAAACAACTAGTTTTTTAGAATCAGATGATGATGATGATGATGATGATGATGCCTCTAGTCGAATAACCACAACAACTGGTCGTGCTACCAATGTTTCTAGTGGTATGTAATGTATTTTTATAATATTAAATACTTCTTAGTTTTTCTTAGTTTTTTATTGATTTTAATATTAATTTAGCCCAAAAAACTTAAAATTTCTATGTTTAATTAAAAAAAAAAAAAACCCAGCACAGTGGAGTCGCGGCATAGTGGGGACGTTGCATAGTTGGGTCCAGTATAGATTTAATCTGACAGTGATTAAAATCACTATCATAAGAAACGCTTCGATGCAAATCAGTAGATAGTGTTTAATTCTAAGAAATTGGTGGATAATTACAAAAGCTGCATGATCTGCTAGTTCCTTATTAATACCCTGATTAAGATAAAGAATGTCGAATGAAAAAGGAATTATTAAAAAATATTATTTCTCATAAAAAAATTGTGTTGATTCATACATTTTTCAATGAGTTGTAGCATTATAAAGTTAAAAATGTAACCAACCCAACCCAACATCAACTCCTATTTCCATAATTATATCCAGATTAGTAATTCGTTTAATTATCTATTATATAATTTTTATAATTAATTATTTTCAAATTATTATCGATTTTTAATATATTAAAAGTAATCATTTTGAACCAACTTCTTTTTGTCCTTTAAAGTGAAAGTTTAAAAAAAAAAAATATGAATTTATTACCATAACTTTTAACTCAACTTGCAAGTTTGAAATAGATATCATTAAATAGAAAAAAATGAAATTGGTAGAGTATTTCAAAAACAACAATAACACTTATTCCCTTAATTTTACCCCGATTTATAATTATAATATATGAATACATAATAATTACAGTAATTAAATTGAGTATGAAAGTGGTATTCAATAATATAATATTGTAATTTTTACGGAGATATTATAAAAATAAAAAGGAGTTGTATATTCATATACTTTTAATGCGTATACAAATTTAAAGGAATTGATGCAATACTTTTTAATAAAAAAATTTTGTTATTTATGAATAAATACACTAAACAAAAGGAACTTTCATCAGAAAAAAAAATATACTTTTCTAAATAAACTTTTCGCGATGTTTTCAAATGTGCAATTAAACTTTTTTTATTACTTCTAAGTTTTAATATTATTACTTATTATTAAAAAATAAGTATTTACATATAAAAAAAAATAATTAAGAACAAAAAAAATTGTATTAAATTAATACTGATTTTGATTTTTAATATGTTAAAGGTAATCATTTTGAACCTATTTTTTATTGTCTTTTAAAGTGAAAGTTTTAATGAAAAATACCTTCTCAGCTTCGCATCGAAGCTAAAAAATGAATTTGTTACCATAACTTATAGTTCAACTTGCAAGTTTGAAATTGACATTATTAAATTGAAAAAAATGAAATTTTTAAGATTAATATGCAATCTGGAAATTTTATAATTACTAATTACAGTACATTTGTCAGAAAAATTCGATTTTTTTACATTTTTATCGTAATAGATAACTGAAATAGAAAGAATAGTAATCATATCCTAATAACTTTTGGTGTTTAAAAAAATTCTGCAATTGAAATATTCAGAACTTAATTAATTTTAATAATTTACTTTAATTAAATGAACCAATCAAACCAAAGTAGTTAAAAAGATTTACTCAATTGAGCATATTATCAAAAATATAATTATAATTGTAAAACTCCATCGTTAACTTCAGGTGAAACTAAAAATCATTTTTTTTTTAAATTTATGATTTATATAGCAACATATTACTAAAAAATTTGGCATATTATAGACTGGTAGTAGCACACAGAAATAGAGTTAAAAAATTAATAAATTATAAAGTAAAATTATTTACTTTTGTAGTTGAATACTTTTATCATATCAAATTTAATTCGACAATAAATAATTTAAGAATATTAAAAATTAATGATTTTAATTGTTTGTATGGACAAATCTAGTTAAGCTACTTTTTATTTGAATAAGGAATATTTTTTTGATTTTTAAGAGTAATAACTTAAACTAATCATTAACTTAAATATCATAAACTTAAATGAATCATTTGACGTATCGTTGAAAAAAGTAGGTCTAGTGAGGGTTGGCAAAATAAATCGTAGCCAGAAAAAGAACCACATAGTAAAATAATATTAACATGAATATCAATTTCTTCTCACGAGGGGAGACTATAGTGATAAGATCCTTTATATTTATTGAAATTATTGAATCTAAATGAGATAAATATCAAATGATTTGAAAATTCTATTCTAACTCAAAAAAAAAATGCAAAATTTTAGAAGCCACAAACGGATTTGAACCTCGTACCCTAGGCGTTAAAGATCAAGGTGTTACCCATTCGGCAACTATTCGTTGATTTTTGTTGCATGATAAAATTGGCTATTTAAGCTAACTCAAATTTAAAAATTACTTTTTCGACTTTAAAAAAGTAAAAAATGTTAATAAGTATAATATCATATGTCTTATGAACTTTATTCTATGTCAATGAAATTATATAATATTCATGAAAGTCAGTTTATTCCCCTAATAAAATATTTTAAAATAAAATAAAATACAAAACCTAGAATTTTAATAAAAAATAGCATATTTTTAAATACGGTAGCCTTTTGCGCATAGAAGATAGGTCGTCGGGACAAATTTTTTTTTTTCATTTAGTAGTACATAAAATAAGCTTTAATTTGATATATGTTTAAAGGACGCAGTATTTCCGGAACATTTTCAAAAATTAAGTTGAAAAAGTTAGTTTTTGTAAAAAAGTTGCTATTTTAAATCCCCCCTGTGAGCAGAATAAGTGTTAGATTTTCAAAAAAAAATGATATCAAATGAAAGAAAATTACCTAAGGTTTCAATATAAAGAAATATTATTTTGATTAGTTAATATTTGAAAAAGTTATGGCAGTTTTAAGTACAAAAAACATCGTTATAAAAGGTGATTTTTATCGCAAATATTACATTTTTTTTATAATTTCGACAGCCATTTGCACATAGAAGATAAGGTGTCGGGACAAATTTTTTTTTTTCATTTTATAGTACATAAAAAAAGCTTTAATTTGATATATGTTTAAAGGACGCAGTATTTCCGGAACATTTTCAAAAGTTCAGTTGAAAAAGTTCTATTTTTTATACAATGTTTCAAAGTTTGAACCCCCCCTATATAAGGGGAAATTGTCTAATTTTAATAAAAAGTATGTCAAATGGAAGATGTACTTATAATGTATTTAGAAAAAAAAAAATTGTGCTGATACATGCATTTTTCGAAAAGTTATAGCATTTTTAAGTTGAAAATTAAAAATTGAAAATCGAAAATTTTAACACAAAAATAGTGTTTTTTTAACTACGGCAACCGTTTACATGCAGAAGATAAAGTGTCGGGACAAATTTTTTTTTTTCATTTTATAGTACATAAAATAAGCTTTAATTTGATATATGTTTAAAGGACGCAGTATTTCCGGAACATTTTCAAAAATTAAGTTGAAAAAGTTAGTTTTTGTAAAAAAGTTGCAATTTTAAATCCCCCCCCATGAGCAGGTTAAGTGTTAAATTTTCAAAAAAATTATATCAAATGAAAGGAAAATATCTAAGGTTTTAGTTTAAAAAAAAATTATGTTGATTTGTTGATTTTTGAAAAAGTTATGGAAGTTTTAAGAAAAAAAAGTGAAAAAAATGACAAAATTTGTCGATTTTTAAATTTGTAATTTTTTTGGATATTTCCCCCATTTGCGGGGAACGAGGGAAAATTTTTAAATTTTTAAGGGTAATGTCTTCAACTAGATACAATTTGTGATCTTTTGACGTATTGTTAAAAGAAATCGGTCCAGTGAGAGCTGAGAAAAAGTAGTGACAGACACAAAAAAATAAAAAAATAAATAAAAAAAAAAATAAACACATCATGGTAAAATTAATACCTTCTCAGCTTCGCATCGAAGCTAAAAATGAATTTATTATTTCCTTTTTATATTTTAGAATGGCAACGGTTAGCTGGTAGTGGTCGACGCCGAACTCAACAAAGACGTAAACGACATCAAAGATCAGCTGGCCCAGGAGGAATGTGTCGTACATCTTCATTCTCATCAGTTACAGATTCTAGTATGTCTTTAAATATAATTACAGTCACATTAAATATGGATTCTGTCAATTTCTTGGGAATATCAATTGTTGGACAAAGTAATAATGGTGGAGATGGAGGAATTTACGTTGGATCCATTATGAAAGGGTATTAAGAAACTTATATCTAATGTTAAATTTAATGATTAAGTTAACTTATATTTAAAAGTAAGATTAAAGAAAGATAAAAGAAAAGTAAGATTAATAGTTTTATTTCTTTATAGATAAAACTACTTATTAAATAATGGGTATTGTTTATGTTTTTATTAGAACTAAAATCATAGGAATGTTAATAATTTTCATGGAAAAATCCATACTCATATCATATTTAGTGTGAAAAGATGGTGTTTACTTCTGTCCTTTTTTATATAATATAGCCAATGTTTGATACCATAGAGTAAATACAGGAAAATTCAAATTTTTACAAAATGTTAAATTTTACAAAAAATTAACGACTCTAAACATTTTTGAGAATTTTTTTCACCAAATTATTTTTTTAAATCTATTATAAATAATAGTTATTTTGAAATTTTTATAAACATTTTTCATCAATTTTTAGAATTAAATTTTTTTAAATTTAATTATAAAAAAAAAACGGTAGCACAGTGAGGTTGCGGCATAGTGGAGACATTGCATAGTAGGGTCCAGTATAGATTTAATCTGACAGTGATTAAAATCACTATCATAAGAAACGCTTCGATGCAAATCTGTAGATAGTGTTTAATTTTAAAAAATTGATGGATAATTGCAAAAGCAACATCAACTTCTATTAAAATAAAATACAAAACCCATAATTATCATACAAAAATAGTATATTTTTCAATATGGTAGCCATTTGCGTATAGAAGATAGATCGTCGGGACAAATTTTTTTTTT